TTTTTCTACAGAGCATTTTCAATAATTAAACTTAAGCACCTGACTTTGATGTGAAAACGACGCCGAAAGAGTCTTTTCTGTTATCATTACAAAAAAAGTAAGACAGTTTTTCCCGGCGATGCCGACGTCAGTAACGACGGCGCGACAATGCTTGACGCCGGAAGCGGCCAAAGCGCTGGACGATGCGGTTGCTGTGGCGAGGAGAAGGGGGCACGCCCAGACGACGTCGGTTCACATGGTCTCCTCCCTCCTCTCCCTCCCTTCCTCTCCTCTCCGGGAAGCCTGCGCCCGCACGCGCAACGCCGCGTACTCCGCGCGCGTGCAGTTCAAGGCGCTCGAGCTCTGCCTGGCGGTGTCCCTCGACCGGCTCCCGGCGTCGCCGTCCCCGGCCGACGAGCCACCGGTGTCGAACTCGCTAATGGCGGCGATCAAGCGGTCTCAGGCGAACCAGAGGAGACAGCCGGAGAGTTATACATTCTACCAGCCGCAGAACTCGCCGCCGTCTTCTTGCTCGCCGGTGATCAAGGTTGAGATACAGAACATGACGGTTTCCATTCTCGATGATCCGGCGGTGAGCAGAGTGTTCGGAGAAGCCGGATTCACAAGCTGCGATATAAAGGTTGCTCTTTTAAGACCTGTTCATCAATTCTTCCGATATTCAACGTACAAAGGCCATCCATCTCCCCTGTTTCTCTGTAATTTGTCCCCGGATTCCAATTTGGGTCGGAGAGATCTCACTTTCCCTTTCCTGGGAAACCCTGCAGTTCTAGAGGAAGACAAGAATTGCAGGAGAATCTGGGAAGTTCTTGAAAACACGAACAAGAAGAACCCATTGTTAGTAGGGGTATCAGCTCACAACACACTCAAGAATTTCTTGGGAGTTTTGAATAGGAGAGAAACCGGGCAAATGCCCTTGAAATTATCCGGGCTGAAAGTGGTCTGTTTCGAAACCGAGCTCTCGGGGTGCGTTAATGGCGACTACGACGAAAGGATGATGAGATTTAATTTTGAGGGACTGAAAAGAACAGTGTCCCAATGTAGAAAGCCTGAAGAAGGTGTTATAGTCAATTTCGGGGAGTTAAGTGTGTTGGCAGTTGATGGAGTTTCCTCTGAGTTTCTGGTCAGGGAAATGGGAAATTTGGTGAAAGTTCATCCGGAGAATTTGTGGGTGATTGGTTCGGTTGAACGGTACGAGGTTTACTTGAAAGTGTTGAACAGATTCCCAGCCTTTGAGAAGGACTGGGATTTGCAGCTCTTGACAATCACATATGCAGAACCATTATTGGGAGAATCATCATCATATCCCAAATCCAGGTATGAATTAGTCGTTTTTTTTTTGTTTCATCTTTGCTGAACTTTGCTGAATTCACAATTCCATGCTCATAATTATAACAAATGTGGTTACAGATTAATGGAATCATTCGTTCCACTTGGAGGATTCTTTCCTGCAACAGCTTATGAACATGTCAAAGGGCCGCCATTGATGAGTAGCTCAAACCCAAGCACGCGGCGGTGCTTCCTCTGCATCGAGAAGTGCAGGCAAGAAATCAATGCACTTTCCGGCGAGCAACACTCTAGTCTCCCTTCTTGGCTTCAGAAGAGCAATAGAATGGACTCTATCGAGGTTTGTATTCGTTAAATCCATGCCTATATATATGTTACGGACTAATTATTTTCTTTAATTATTAGTTTTTAAAGAATCAATTTTGAAGCTCTGGGTTGAAGAAGATCCAAGCTAGAAAGTTCTTTTTATTAAAAGGGTCATGTAAAAACTACAACTCTGTACATTTTCAGTGCAGGCCAAAGACGATAAGGTGTTATTGAGCGCTAGAATTGATGGGGTGAATAAGAAATGGGACTCTCTTTGTCACCGGCTTCACTACAATCTCCCCGCCGATCAATTTCCGTCCATCGCCGGCAATGGCGAAACTGGCGTTTCCGCATCGAAAGAAAGCGTCCTTTCAGACGTCAACAACAGCGCCACCGCCTTGTCCATGGTCGGAGAAACCCCATCAAATGAGCTTGACCCTGCGACTTCGTCGCCTTCCTCCGTCACTTCCGTGACAATGGATCTGGGCCTGCGTATTTGCTCGGGAGAATCGGAAAAGTCGAAAGATGGCAACTTTGACCGGAAAGATTTCAAGATTCTGTACAGAGCTCTGGTGGAGAGGGTTTGGTGGCAAGAAGAAGCTGTGAGAGTTGTGAGCCAGAGAATAGCTCGGTGCAGAAGAGACGTATGGTTCCATTTCGCCGGAGAAGATGAGCTGGGGAAGAAGAAACTCGCTGTCGCCGTTTCCGAGATTCTCTCCGGGACAACCCAGAGCTTGATCTACGTGGATCTCACCTTCCCGGAACCTGCCGCCACCGCGAAATCGCCGGTCGATCTCCCTGTTTCGAACAGATATGACGTCACACTCAGAGGGAAACCTGCCGCCGACTTCATCGCCGACAAGCTGTCGGAGAATCCGATGTCTGTTGTTTTTCTTGAAAACATCGAGAAAGCCGATCATCTTCTCCAGAACAGCTTATCCCGCGCTGTCAAGACGGGTAAATTCTCAGATTCACGCGGGAGAGACGTCAGCATTAGTAATGCAATCTTTATTACCGCTTGCGGTAACTCTTCTCAAGAAGAAAAAGTAAATTTTTTTTCCTCTCCAAGAATTTGGCCCTCAATCCAGATACAGGTAGGAGTCGATCTCGGGGACGGGCCCAACAGGTGGGACCCACCAAAAAAGCGGGCGAAACGGGCCCACGTTGGACGAAGCCCATGCCCGGACTTGAACTTTCTTCCAGAAGATAACGAGGAGGTCGAAGAAAGAAGCAAAGCTTTAGAGCCATGGCTAGAAGATTTCTTGAAAGGAGTTGACGAAACGGTGACGTTTAAGCCCTTTGATTTCGATTCACAGGGGAAGAAGATGTTGGAGGAGATCGAACGGTGTTTCTCAGAGACGGTGGGGCCGGAGTGTTCGCTGGAGGTTGAGCGGGAGGTGGTGGAGCGGATTACCACGGCGGCGTGTTTAACAGATAATAAGAAGGTAGAAAAGTGGATTAAGAGTGTGATTAAGCAGGGATTTATGAAAGCTCAAGAGAAGTATAGTTTGACTGCTCATTCTATTGTCAAGTTAATTTCTGGAAGATATTCTGAAGTGGGACAAATTCTTCCTGAAAATATTACATTGATTTGAATTGAACTCGGAGAGTATTCATTCTTTGGTATGCACTATTATGTATAAATGTATTATTTGTAGCCTATTAAAATCACATGTTTTATTGGGTAGTTACAAGTATATATTATCATTGGAATAGTAAATTTGTTTGGAAATGTAATTGTAATAAGATTTCTAATGTTATTATACATTTATACTCCATCCTTTATTAAATGACTTTATCTCCTTCACTTTAATTATTTCTTAAAAAATGTTTAAAAGTGGGAAACAAATTGTTACGGAGTAAAAAATTTTTTGTGTTTTTTACAAGTCAATCGAACATCATATTATTAATGCACATCATAGTATTAAGGTATGAGTCACATAAAAAAGATTTTTTTTGGCAAAATACTCTCATCATAAAGAAAACATAAATATATAGGCACTAGTGGTTTGTACTCTTTATTCTCCAAAAGGTGAAATCGCTCACCCCGGGCGCCCCTCACCCCCGACCCGACGGGATTGTGAGAGGAGGTAAATCACGGTGACCCAAGCACAACACTTAGCTAGACCATATCTTAGTGCGCATCAGAGACTCCCCCCATTTTTCAGAGGTGGTCGCCCCCACAACGGTCGCTGCCCGGTTTTGATCCTTGGTCATTCTCCAAACTTCACCAAGTGCTTGCCACTTGGGCTACCCATGCGGGTGTTTGTACTCTTTATGATTTCATTGGTGATGTCTTCTATAATAAGAGCACCAAAAAAGGTTGGGGCATTATGTAGAACATTTGAGAGACTACATAGAATTGTGAAAACTTGCAACCTTTTTGAAGAGCTGGAGTAGCATGCTCACTCTAGCTACGCCAGAGTGGTGTAAGTGAGTGCACCTGCAGTCACTCCACTGTGGCAGAAGAACATAAATACTGTATAAATTATATGCACGCAAGGTGATGAAGAGCAAGTTCAAGCTGACCCACTGATTCAGCCTATTCAATTTTCATTCTTTAATTTCTTTCCTTTTTTGAATCAATCACTCATTTAATTTATATCACTAAAGTAAAATTTATTTTATTAAAGTAGATGTTTAGTTTTTGTTATTGCACACGATGTGCTCGACAAAATATCCATGAGAACAATTTTTATTTTGATATCTTCCGATCATCGTTAGAGTGACACTCTACCTATGTCTCTACTCATTTACGATCCTGGCTTTGCCATTGACTTTGTGGTCTTTGACAATGTATTTTAAGAAAATCAACACTTAAATTTTCACATAACTCTTTCGTAGAGACTCATTTTTAAGATAGATGGAATAGAAGAAATTAGAGCAAACAAAATCTATATTAAATGTAGCTCAAGAATAATGAAGAAGGATAAAGATAGTACTGATTCGAAAGAGCTTGAAGTAGGTTTTAGAATGACATCGTTTTGGTTAGCATTTTTCAATAAAAAGGAAAATAACTATAGGAAAAAGAAAGAAAGCATTATGCTAGGGTCATCTTATAGACTGTTCTAGAGTTTAAAAATAGATTTCACATTTTTTATATTAAAGAAGCAGTGACATGACCATATTAGTTTATTGAACAAAAAATACAAATAAATAAAAAATGAATGAAAGTCAACTATTTGAACGATAAATACACAATTAATTTAAGTAATCTGTTTTAGGGTCCGTTTGATACACGAAATTAGCGAAATTAAAATTGAATTAAGATTTCCAATTTCAATTTATTTTTGGTACTAATAATTTCAAATCTACGTATTTTTGTATTACCAAATAACAAAATTGAAATTAATATTTTCAATTCTAGACTTGAATTTTATTTATATACCAAACAGACCTTTAAAATAGACAAAATGACCTCTTTCCATGGTTTTTTCGTTTTTTCTTTTTTCCGGGCTGAGGTCCATTTCTTATGGCCAGAAGGCATTCTTCCGGCCCATTGTTGTAATAACTCCACAAATCACACCCACTGACCACCCCATCGTCACCGGATTCGCCTCCCCGTACCTCTCCGAAACCACAACTCCGGCGTCTGTACTTGATCTTCTCCGTCGCAGCCTCGGTTGTATCCGAGGCCTTTGACCTCGCATCGCGCCGCCACGTGGATAGTCCTCCTTGTTTCCGGTAGTTCCTCCGTCTCCCAATCGAAATATCCAGGTTTGGCGTCTTCCAGAGTCACGTTAATTCTCGGTTCTTAACTTACTACGAAGTATTTCGCAATGCATTTATTTTTGGATTTATTGTTTCCAATATTCGATTATCACTCCGATCAATTAGGAAATGTAGCTTGTTCTTAAACAATGGGATTTCAATTAATCAATTTCCATTTGCTACTGTAATTTTAAGATTCATTTTCCGTGTTCAATATATACGCTTTTCTTAGACCTAATCAGTTAATTGCTTTATGTGCTGTGTATATAGCAGTGAGAGTGAATTTTTATCTTCAAAGATTTGGTTTTTATCTTTGTTTATGATTTGATTTTCTGCTATATTTTTTAACCTTCTTCTTCAATGAATGCTGAAGAATATTGCAACATTTGTCTCCTGAGAAATTGAACATAGTAAGATAATTCTATCACAAACCATATAAGAAAGAAATATGGAGCATAAAATATAAAATAGATTATTCTTTTAAAAAAGCTGTAATAGTGTAATCTATAAATACAGAGTATTGCTAACTTATTGTTTGATTTAAAGTAATGTATTTTTTTACAGAGTATTGTTTGATTTTTGCTTCATTTCTATTAGTAGTGTGTTAAATTCTTCCTCCACATTTAGTTCAACCTTTCCTTTCATAGTTCACATAGAGCTTAACATAACCAATCTTTGGGGAAAAGCTTGTTAGTTGTGATTATAGAGTGCTAGTGATCCATGTGCTCGTCCAACATGCTGTTGGAGTGTTAGAGAATGTTGGGCAGGTTAAGCGGTTATACAATTCATAAATCGTAATGTTTGCTACGTACTTAAAAAATAGATTAGTTATTGTACAACTCAAATACTACTCATTTAGTGTACTCATATTAATAACTATAGTTGCATTGTTTCTGTTTTTGAATATTTTTATTATTGATAACAACATGTTCTGTTTAGGAAAATTGAAATCTTTTGTCATTGTACTCCTGTGTTATGAGCCTTATGTCCTTGGAAACAACCCTTCTATTTTTTTGCTTATGAGAATCATGAGACATGCGTGAACTGTGACATGAATCAGGAAATGGGTTTATGGACGCTGCTGGAGGGCTGTCTGCTTCTTGCCAACGCGTTGGCAATACTGAACGAAGACCGTTTTCTTGCGCGTAGGGGATGGAGCTTCGAGGAATACTCTGGGATCAAGAGGAATTCATTGAAGGGCCGGATTCTCGGTCTCATCTATGCAACACAGTACTTGAGAGTCCCACTCATGCTCCTCAACATTCTCTGCATTATTGTGAAGCTCATTTCTGGATAATCACTCACTCAGTTCCTCTTGCAAATCATTCTTGTTACAGAAAAGAGCATTTTGAGCATGATAATAGGTACCATGTCAAGAGGTTCTTGGTTGATGATAATGTATGAGTATAATTAATCCTAAGATCTAAGGTTTGTATGTTGTGCCTCAAGGATGAAACAATTTTCTCAGGTGGTTGTAAAACACAAATGCTAAGATTCTTTAGTTCCTGTTTGAATACTTCATATGTTCAAGGTTCATCATTGGAATGCAAAGCTCTGTGTTCTATTCTTTATGAATGTAATGATTGTTCCCATAGGAGGAGAGCAAATTTAATGTCCCAAAATGTTTTTTCATCCACATGTTTCACTCTGTACATTCTACTCAGCACAAGAATAAATTGAGACCATATTGTCGTGTTATCTGGTAGTATTGGAAGGGTGTGATATGGGGGTAGATTACAAGGATAGTATTATTGGGAGAGAGCATCTTATACACAATATTCATGTTTGCAATACTCTATCCCAATACTTTCTTAGTCCCAAATTAATCGTCTTTAATTTTTTTTGGCGGTAACAAATTAATCTTCTATCTTTCTTTGAAATGAATTTTGTGCCTCATATTTTTCTCTACAATGCATTACTTTCAATAACATATTTTTATTTTCTTAAACTCCATGCAAAGTCAAAATGAGAGTATTAATTCGAAATCTATTTTAATACTGTAGTATTTTTTATTCTCCTCAAAAGTATGAACAAATCTTTTTTACACTATTTGTTTCTATCATGAATAACCCTTTGTATCACAATTCACAACTAAAAGAAAATTACGGGAGTAATATAAACTTCTACTCTTAGACGGGGTATATTTTTAGTATTCATTCAATATATAAGTTGTTTGTAAGCATGAACTTTCACGCAAAATTAAACTCAAAAGCAGGAGTATAATTCTCCATTTGTCCAAAATTTGATTATAAATTAGAATTAACGAGGCAAAAATCTTCATCTTTTAAGATCATTTTATTTGCAAAGTATAAAAATAAAAATTACGTTTTAAAAATATTATGTCAAAATTCAAAAGTTCTACAAAACAAAAAATAATAAGAATATTTTATCTTATCAAATAATCGGTGAAAACACACAAATAAATAAAAAATTTTGAGTGCAGAGAAAAAAACTGGTACAGCAGCAATTTGATGAAATAGATGAGAAAAGGAGAGAGTACAAAGGATGCAATCTCAATCATAGACATTGTTTTCTACGGAGTAGAATTTTTAATTTTATGAAGAATGTGAACTTTTGAATACTTTTTCAAATAAGTCAATAATTTCAACAACAAATTGCATCACTATCAGTCAAATTCCCCCTAACCATTCCTTGTTTTCTGCACCAACAATTCATCAATCCAAATATGTAGCTTTCTTTAAATTATTATTATAATTATCATTACCATTTCTTGAACCGAATGTTCATAACAACATACACCATTTGTGGCATCACACAACTCATAACAATGCCTAAAATTCACTCAGATCTTCAATCTTTCTTCTGAGATCCAACAAGATTTGCATCAGTTTGGTAATACACAACATCCCCAGTGTCACTCACATAGTGATCCCTCTGCATGCTTCTGAAGAGCTCTCCCAGCAAGTGCCACGGTAGGGCCCGCGATTTCTTTGGCTCCCTGTAATACTTCCCCAGCACTGGCTTCGCCGCCTCCGTCTGCAGATAGATTCATTCAAGTTTATCAATAAAGACATTAATAACAGACCTTATATGGAGATTATATTTAAGACAGAAATTTAAGAGATACTCACAGCTTCAATCAAATGGTAATGGGGGATTTGGGGGAAGAGGTGATGAACCACGTGGGTCCCAATGTCGTGGTGTATGTTGTTGATCCATCCGTAATCGCGGTCAATGGTCGTCAGCCCACCCCTAAGGTAAGTCCATTCCTGTTTGTTTGACCAAATCAACATAAATTCCCATATCAAGCACCCAAAGCTTAAGAGACTGATTATGCTATAAAGGAAAGAATGTGGGTAATGGGTTTCTACTCTTCTTGTTCCCAAATTGGTTTTGGGGATTGATAAGGTAAACGCATACCTTCCCACGGTACCATGGAAGTTTGTCTTCATGTCCATGGTGATGTAAGTATGTAACCAGATCCAGCCACATAACAAAGAGCTGCACGAAATGTGACAATAACACTATGTTTGGTTAGGGGAATATGTCAAAGAAACAGAAATTGGGGGGCTAAGATGGACAAACCACATATGGAACTCCATAGAGTTTGAGCAATTCGACGGGACCCATCAGAAATGACAAACCAGCAAGAATGGCAGCCATGGCTGACCAGCACACGGTTGAAGTGATGACATCTTTCTTCTCGTTTGGGACAAACAAATCACTGCCTGGATGAAAATGAGACCCTTTCTTCCCCGGGCTTCTCCCCCACTTCAGCCCATTCAAAAGCCAGCACAAAATGAAACCAAACATCAGTTTGTTTCATCTTGAAAAAACAAGTTTAGATTCATATAAATCACAAGGCAAAAGGGACAAACCAGATAGACAGGGTATGCAAGCAGTGGGAATGGTAATGTGAACCTCAACTTCTTTGTGACATTGTCAAGACTCTTGAATAGCTTCTCTGGAAGCTGAGATTGAATGAAAATTAAGTAAATAGTAAGCTAAAACTGTTGGGAAAAACAAAGTCCAATTCCAACACTTAATGAAGAAGAAGAAGAAATTAACCAATATACAACGCATACATGTATACCCAACTCTATTAATATCCATGGGAGCTTGATACAAAAGGGATAATATCATACTATTGTGGGTTAGGCCTTAGGGTGATGCTAGGCAGTCCCAACAAAAAAAACTAAACAAGAAGTGGAAGATAGCAGGTTTAGACACTTACAGGGTGCCAAGATTCATCATTTTCAACATGACCATGATTCTGGTGGTGTGTCCTATGGCTGATCCTCCTGCATCATCACACAGAAAATAATTGCCCTGAGTTGATCCGTTTACAAATTTTCAAAACTTTGACACTAAAACTTCCATTTTCACTTTTCCTATCCTATCCTGTCAGAATCCTATGAAGATTCTCAGATCTACGGTGAACGTAAGAACAAGATCCTCTTGAGAGTGCAAGACTCACAGTGTTTGTCTGCGTTATGACATATGTTTCAAGATTGATGGCAAAAATGAGTGCATAATTGGGGCTGAATGTAGTAAGCATACAACAATATGAACTTCTTTAAAACCAAATATATATGTGACTAAATTAGGCAAAAAATCACAGCAATGACAGCATTATATGACTAGCATTAAGTAACAGTTTATTGCTGAGAGACAAAATGGGTTATTAATTAGTGATTACTAATTTCAATAGGTAGAGTGAGAGAGAAGATTTGAAATCCAATCAAATATGAAAAAATTGAATAAGACCAAGGGCTTCAAGGAGCTAACCATCCATGGTAAGGGACAAGAATTGATGAATGGAGAATATGTCCAACAAAACTATTCAGCTTTGGATCATTTGAAAAGCTCCCATGCCCACTGCATAATTCATCACAACCATTATCAAGACTAAAAATTCAAAAAAAAAATGCAATCTTTGGCAAATAAAATTCCGAAAAAAAAAGACAAAAAGAAGCAATTTTGGCATTTGAAAAGTAAAAAGATGCAATCTTTTTTATATTCATACCAGTCGTGGCCGAGAACAAAGAGTGCCCAAAACATTGTCCCTTGGGCAAACCAATAGAGAGGCCAAAGAAGCCAGCTATTGAAAAAAGAAGCCACAGCTGCCAAACCAAACACAACAGCCACATCCCTAACCACATAGCTCATTGACTTTAAAGGGTCCTTAACCCAACAATGCTTGGGTATGGCTGCCCTAATATCAGACAACTTAAATGGTGGTGGTGAACCAGGGTCAAAAAAGTCATTCCCATTTACAGTCTCCCTATTCTCTTCCTCCTCTTCACACACTGGTGCAACTGTAATTGGTACACTCACCTTCAGAGCCCAATTTCTTTCTCTAGTACCAATCACAGAATTAAAAGTAGTAGTAGTAGTAGTAGTAGAAGAAGAAGAAGAAGGGAGACATAATCTTGAGATTGATGTACAAGTTCTTGGTTTAGGGTAGACTTTGGGGAGTGGTCTCAGACCACATTCTGATAACACCCAAATAGCCATTGAACGGATTCTTGAAGGAAAAAATGAGTCTTTTGAGGCTTATATCTCAAAAAATTAAAAGAATTGAAAGAAAATACAGTAGGGTTAGAGGAATAGAAAGAGATGTGTCGATATGAAAGAGATAACACTGGAATTCAATTGTGGGTTGGGATTGAGAACCCCAAAGTTGTGGGGTTTCTCGTGGGTTGTCTTCTTGCTGCCACTTTGGAATGAGATTTATGACTGTGTGGTTTCCTCTTCACCGTGTCTGTATTTAAATGTGTGGATCTCAAAGGATGTGGATGGAATTCTCCGTCCAGATATCTAAAGTTTCCACATCATTTTTTATAAGTGCAAAGTTTCAACATTATTAATTATTCCCAATACTTTTTAGTGCCCCATTGATTATGCAGAGTAACAATTTATTCCACGTGCCCAAAGATTTGAGAAACAAATACTCCCTAAAAATATAAAATTATTCGTCCGTAGTCTTATGATTCATATACTCCGTAAAAAAATATTTTCTCACATAATTTATAGAAAGAAAAAGTTAGTAGTAATCAACTTGGGTAGAAGGGAGTAATGAACATAGATAGTCAAGTTGAGCCATTGTTTGGCATCTCCCGGCACCAAGATTGGGTTAGATATTTGAATTGACTTCTCTTTTCTTGTCATTTTGCCTCACATGAACCAATGATGTTCGGTAGATAAAAAGTTACTGTGCATTACGCAACTATTCCCTCGAAATCCAGCGACCTCAAAAAGAACAAAAGTAATATACTCCGTAATTGGTAAACGAACTAGGGTTATTGCTCTTCCTTCTGTTCTCTCTAAGGTCGCTGGACTTTGGGGAGTAATTTTGTACTACAAAATAACTTTTTCTACTGAAATATCGTCGGTTCATGCGAGGCAAGACAACAAAAGAAAAAAACAAAAAGAAGCCAATTCAAATATCAAACCCAATCTTGGGTGCCGGGATATACCAAACAATGGTTCAGCTCGACTACTAATGTTCATTACTCCCTTCTATCCAATTTGCTTTAAAAAAAAATATAAAAACCTATAAAAAGAAAGAAATAGAATAAAAAATAAATTCATACATTAAATTAATTAAAATTAATGTTTAATATTTTCATATTCTTGTCAATTGTCATGTAAGTGAAAAGATAGAAATGACAAAAGGAGAGTTTATTTAATGTATGAATGCTTCAATTCTATCGCATTGACCTAAGTTCCGTAATAAATTTTGTAATGGAAACGAATTCCTAAAATTAAAAGATAAATGTATTCAAGAGAAACATAAAATAGAAATTAATACTTGGTACTACTTAAATTTGGAAAAGTAATACTCTCTTCGTCTCAAATTTGATGCCATTGTCGATATTACAACTTCTCTATAATTTTGTTTGTATATTTTTATTATTAATTTAATAAAAGAAAATAAAATAATTTTTTCACATCTTGTTTTATAAGGTTTTTTTATATACTTTTAAATAGTACTCCCTCCGTCCGGAAATATTCTTCCCATTTTCCTTTTTGGTCCGTCCGGAAATAATCTTCCCATTTTCTTTTTTAGTATGCTTTTTAAGGCTAAATATCAATAATACCCTTCTATTTTATCACAAATCTACTTTTTTTAATACTTTTTTAATGATAAAAGAAGATTTAAAAGTTTATAGTTTGTGCATTTTTGAAAATTTTGCATTTTTTTACTATTCCTTAATGAGCGTGCCAAGTCAACACGGGAAGAAAATTTCGGATGGAGGGAGTATATTTTATATTTTTTTTATTTCTATGCTAATTTGTAATTAAAATAACTTTAAAAATGATAGAATTTTAAATATTTTTTGGGGTGTGATATTTAATTTGGGAAGTACGAAAAGAGGGATAGAAAAAAGAATTAAGGAACGTGAATGTTGTGCCAAATTTGGATATGAAAAGTCACCTTTCCGACTTTTGCATTCTTGTTGCTTTTTTCCTTTATTGATTTTCAATGTAAATTTTAGACTTTGTTGGCATGATTGGTTGAAACAAAATTACCTTAATTTAAAAATATTTTTTTTTTGTTTCACATTTACGAATAATACTCTCTCTATCTCAAATTCTCAACTCTCTGTCTCAATTTAATTATCTATTCATTATTCACACAATCAAAATACACTACATACGAAACAAGTCTTTATTTGATGCATTATTGAAGTGTATGCTCTTCTAGCTATGTCAAAGGATCCCTCATGATTGGCGTGGGTTCGGCGAGTACATATATCATACATCGAGATGTACAATGTATCTTATACATTCGCTTGAACATTCATTTTCGAACATAATTGAGTTTAGAAAAAATGAGTATTTAGTTATTCGAAAATGAGAATTCAACTACTCAAAAATTAATATTCAGCTGCTGGTAAATGAATACTTAATACGGAGTATATACTATCGTACAACCAGTTGTACGGTATATATCGCAAGTTTGACATGAGAATTTTTTTCTGCATGGTTACTTTATTTCTGCTTAGGCGAATGATTCACCTTACAACCATTTCAGGACTAGCTATAATTTGAAAGAGATGCTTTAGAATACATGTAATTTGTACTTGGTAGTATTTAGTTCCAACCATTTATGTAATTACAGTAGTATATTTTAATTGGCTAACTTTATACTCCGTATATATTGCAACCTTCGTCTTTGACTATTTCTAAAGTTTTGACTTTTTGCAATAAATTATTTTCGAACTCCGATCTTGAACTAAATAGTAATTATACGGTATATAATTAGATAAATAATATTGTGAAAATACTGTATAAAATAAATCTAATAATATTATTATTGTACCAATATCTAATACTAATTTTATTTAATTAATGATCAAAATTTTTAATTTTGATGATAAAAAATAAAAAATGGATAAAATACTCCGATCCGTGCAGTATCGATCTCTTTATTAGAGCACAATCACTAAGAGTATCACTAGCGTGGGAGGGAGTAGAGCTCACAAAACGGTCGGTCAGGTCGGGTTCAGATTTGGTCACTTCGAGTTCATGTTATTTCGGGTTCGGTCAATTCGTATTGGGGTTGAGAGTTGTATGTTCATGACCCAGTGTCATCGAGTTCGGGTCGATGACCCAACAGGTTATGACTTTGGGTTATAAAAATTTTAAATTTACATCAACACTTATGTTTTGTTTTTAATAAATGTAAAACATCAAAACATATGCATTAAATTTATTAGATTAATTTATTTTAAATTCTCAAGAAATTTTTAGATATATAAATCAATATAAGAAATTTAAAAAATGCTTATGTTTCACAAAAAGTAAGATATTTATGCAATATCATTAAAATTTTGTTTGAAAATATAAATTTATGCACTAAAAACGAGTATTAAAGTATATGATTTTTAAAAACTCATACTTTAGAGGTATGATTTTGAAAAATTCTTATTTTGAGAGTAGTATATAGATAAATTTCTCAAAATTTAAATATGAAGTAACATTTAAGCATACAAATTTATTAGCATTTGCCCACCAATAAATTGATTAAATTCTCAAAATTTAAATATGGAGTAACATTTAAGCATACAAATTTAGCATTTGCCCACCAATAAATTGATTAAATTCCCATAGATTGCATGCATTATGCATAGTATATATGCACAATCCTTGTATAGTTAGTTAAGACAAGAACCCTACAACCACCCATGTAACCAAATTAGCTGCTTAAAGGAAAGCCCCCTTTCAACAAATCCCTCATAATTATTCCCCCTTTATATTCTCTCCCCATATATTAATTCCTATTCCTATTTCTCCCCTTCTATATACTCTTAGCTCCCATGCAGAATCCATCCCCATCTCTGCCGTCAAACACCATGAAATCCGGCGGCCGGAAAACCAACAACCTCCCGATCGCCGCGGCGGCGCTCTCCGTTTTCCTCGTCGGCTGCTTCATGTACAGTGACGACTTCAAGTCCGCCGCCGAGTTCCCGTTCTCGGAAGACCGGGAAAGCCCGGTCAGAGAAAACAGGGCACTGGTTATATCCTCCGTGGGAAACCCGGAAACAGAGCCGCCATTATTGACGGAGGGCGGGGAGGAAGGTGAAGGCGGCGCCGCCGTTGAATTGCCGGAGGAAGATTGCGACCTCTTCACGGGGGAATGGGTTTACGACGAGGATGGGTCCCACCCGATTTATAGGGAGGCGGAGTGTGAGTTTCTTACGGCGCAGGTGACTTGCCTGAGAAATGGGAGAAAGGACTCTTCTTACCAGAAATGGAGGTGGCAACCCAGAGACTGTTCTCTACCCAAGTAATTACTCCCTAATTAATTAACCTTAATTAACCCAAAAGTTGTATGTTTGTATCAAGAAACCAACTCAACCAAAAACTCAAGTTTGTGGTTGTGGCCCAAGAAGAGTTATTTATATCTTAAAACTACGTGAGGCTGAGTTTCGAACCCGTGACTTCTTAGTTAACAAGGTTCCGATACCATGTCAAAGAACCAATTCAACCAAAAATTCAAGCTTGTGGTTGTGGCCCAGGAAGAGTTATTTATATTCTAACACGCTCCCTCACATTCAGGCGTAGTGTTTTTTGAGCCTTGCACGTAAAACTTTTTAATTTTCTTAAAACTGGGTAACACTGAGTTTCGAAACCGTGACCTCTTAGTCAACAAGGCTCTTAGTTTTGAAAAGTTTTTAAACACGAAATCTGTGTTTGGTCGATTGTTACTGGATGACAACGAAGATTGAACTCGTGACATCTTAGTTAGAAACGCTCGGATATCAGCTAAAACAATCTAACTCGATCAATCAGAAACCATAAACTTGTATAATGGTTACAGGTGCAAGAAATGTTTTATACTCTAACATTTAGTATCATTTCATATATATCTTTGAGTTCAATTCAGACAAGTCTTACTTAGATTGATACATATGGTGTTTTAGGTTCAAGCCAAAGTTGTTGCTTGAGAAGTTGAGGAATAAAAGGATGATGTTTGTTGGGGATTCTTTGAACAGAAATCAATGGGAATCAATGGTTTGTTTGGTTCAATCCATTGTTCCTCCCGAGAGGAAAAGCCTGAACAAGACCGGTTCTTTATCGGTTTTCAGAATCGAGGTCTTTTTCTAAACCATCGATGTTTAATTTGGATATTTGAAAGAATATTACTATCTTCAATTCTCTTTTTACTATTCCTTTTGTGTGAAAAATGTACTTACTCTTATTTAATCTTTTCGGTCTCCAATAAGGTAACACTTTAACTATTATTCTCATCAGCCCTAAATGCTTATCACATTTTGCAAAATGAGACAAAAAAATCGTTTTATTTAAATATTGATATAAAAATATGGGTGACTATATAAATTTTAAGCATATATATTTAATTTGGGTGTGGATATTTTGCAGGACTATAATGCAACAGTTGAATTCTATTGGGCACCGTTTTTGGTCGATTCTAATTCGGATGATCCAAACATGCATAGCATCCTGAACCGGATCATCATGCCCGAATCCATCAAGAAGAAGGGTCAAAATTGGAAAGATGTTGACTTTCTCATATTCAACACTTACATTTGGTGGATGAACACTTTTGACATGAAAGTACTGTGAGTGTACCATTGACCATTCGTTTTTTTAAGTAGCATTAAAATATACGGAATAATGACTTTTCCTAAATAATATTATAGAGTATGTTTTAATTTCTTAATGTAGTAATTTTTGTTATTATCCATTAGTCATTATTCAATAAAATGTTCACCATTAGTGGACATTATTTCTTCTTCTGGACATTATTAAGTGCTATTTAAGGAATAAAAAAATTTAAGTCTGACATTTTGAAATAACTTAAGTTTTAATGCTATTTAGTGCAAATATTTCTTTTCTAAAAGCAAACTGTTTAAATAATTTCAAGATGAAAGAGTATAATTCAAACTTATTTTAAGAAATACCGGATTTTAAAAATAAAATTCAAACTTCAATTTTTTTTCAACAATTAGTTTAAATCCATAAAAAAAATAAAGTGGGACATTTTTTGTGGGATGGATAATATTGTATATACATTGGGCTCGTAATTGATTGAAATTAAACTGATGCAGCCGTGGATCATTCGATGATGGGTCAACCGAGTACGATGAGGTGCCAAGGCCCAATGCTTATACGAAGGTGTTGTCAACCTGGGCCCAATGGGCCGAAGAAAATGTGGATCCAAACCGGACCCAAGTGTTCTTCATGAGCATGTCTCCTCTTCATATCAAGTAACCTCACAATTTCTTTGTTAATGCCTCTAAAAAAAACTTCATTTTTTGGTACATAAAAAATAATCATCTTTTAACCCATTTTTTCTTGCAACAACCAAGTTATTTGACTATTGCCTATACGAAATAATTTAAAAATAATTTTAGTCAAACATTGTAAACCGATAAAGACAATATATATTGGGACGAAGGGAATAATTAATTAAATTTTGGTGAGGCGTGTTTTCATTTGGTCATTCATGGAATTTAAAAGGTTATTGTTTTACTTGATAGGAGCTTGGATTGGGGCAATCCTGAAGGTATAAAATGTGCAAGTGAAACAAGACCAATTCTAAACACAACCATGCATTTGGACGTTGGAACCGACAAAAGATTACTTATGATAGCATCAAACATAACTCAAAACATGAAATTGCCCGTTCATTTTCTCAACATTACTGTTCTCTCCGAATACAGAAAAGACGCGCATACGTCGATCCACACCATCAGACAAGGAAAAATGTTGACTCCAGATCAGCAGGCGGACCCCGCCACGTATGCAGATTGCATACATTGGTGCTTACCTGGACTTCCCGACACGTGGAACGAGTTTTTGTACACATATATAATGTCTCGCTCTTGACACGTGGGGGTTTGTTGTCTCCCTCTCTGCGACCTTATTCATGAACAATTAATTTTTGTTTTGATCCAAGTGTAAAAAAAATGATTGTTTGATTGAAAGAAAAAGAACAATTTATAAGAAGAATTTTACTCCGTATTTCTTTGGGTCGTGAAGAAATATTCTAGTTCAATATAGCTTGAATTGGGTATCTTTTTTGTTCCGTTAGTCATTTTAGGTCATGAATATTAATTAGATTTTAATCCGTGCATCTGGTAAGATATTTATTTTAAATGCTTATATTTATTTGTTAGATCTTTTGATATACTCTCTTTGGTCCACAAATTTTTCATCCGTTCCAAATTTTTTTTTCTCATTTATATTAAAAAGTCACTTTTATCCATAATACGGAGTATAATTCTTAATGTACATATCACATCATATCTATTCACTATTAATCTATTCATTTCATCGTACTTTTACCCATCACATCCAAGAGTAGTTTTGGAAAGTCAATATCAAAATGCATTCCCCTTAAATTCTTTATAAGTCAAAAGAGAAAAGGAGTTGTGAGACAGAGGGAGTAGTTCCTAATTGTGTATGTTTTATTTTTAAATTTCATATCAATTTTCAACTAATTAAATTGATTTGAAAATAATTTTAGCCAAACTTCGTAAATAACACAATTTTCAACTAATTAAATTGAGTTGAAAATAAATTTAGCCAAACCTCGTAAATAACGACAAATGATTCAAGTTATGAGGGAAAGAGTACTATTTAAATAAATTAAAATTAAAGTACGTACTCTAGTCAAAATATCATAACGAATTCCAAATGGAGGAAATAATTATTCCAAGGTAAGTTTAAAATGTCGGGCTTCTTTTTTTTTCAATTAGGGGACAATCTACCTATTGTTAGTAGTGTTTTTAGATAGGTAAATGTTGACTATAATGAGTAATGACCATGTTCAATGAAATGTTGACTATGGATAATGGATTTGTACTTCTATTATTCAATTTTCTTGTCTTCAATTTATTTTTAATTCAGTTGCGTAAAATAAAGAAATCATTTCATCAATTTAATAAATTTCAATGAAAAATATAATCAAATCATATCATTTAGTAATTAAGAAGAGTCCTCCTTTTCTACTAAAAAAAGTCCTTTTGTTTAAATATTTAGATATATACAGTTATTAGAAATTACCCTGGTGTATTAGAAATTGTTTCAATTAAAAAATTTTCGGAATTTTTTTAGTTAAACTTATATTTAGTTTATCAAAATTTAAGTAATTTTAGGATAATTAATTTGTTTAGATTTTTTTATTTTTAAAAAGGTGGAACGCCCACCCCATCCACCCTAACAATATGGCCCGACATGATTGTGAAGAGGTAAATTAAATTATGGTATAATATCAATCTAGTAAATCGTAATATAATATCAATCTGGTAAATCAAAAGATAATCTCAATCTGATCTTAAAAAAATTACTCCTTATAGGTACATGCATGAAGATGTTCATTTCGATTGGTGTGAATTGAAGTACAGAGTAAACAAATTTGAAAGTGAGCTGTAATTCTAACTAAAAATAATGAACTCAACATAGATACTAAAACAAAAATTTCTGAAATGATCAAAATGTTGTACTAAAATCGTAACAAAATGAAAGATGCAGATATTGTCTCAAACATAATTTCCCATTGATATTGGGTCTGTTTGGGAATAGCGTTAGATATTAGCGTTAGCGTTTTGGATAAAATTTTAACGGTGCAGATTATTTTGAAAACGCTAACGCTAAACGCTATCCGTAAATAGCCTTTTCAAAACGCTAAGGCTATAGTAAATTCTCAAAATAGTCCTTTGTAATAAAGGGTTTTCCCAAATTAGTCCTCAATAAATTTTAATTACCTACGTGGTCCTCTATAATTGAGATTTATTCCCTAAATAGTCCTTTGTAATAAGGTATTTTCTCAAATCAGTCTTCAATAAGTTTTAATTATCTATGTGGTCCTCTGTAATTGAGATTTATTCCTAAGATGGTCCTTCGTAAATAATACTCCCTCCGTCCCAAAAAGATCGTTACGTTTCATTTCTTTGCGCATCACAAAAAGCAATGCTACTCACATCTAGGAATTCTAAAATTTACCATATTTACTCTTTATTATAAGATGAAATTGTTTTGAAAGTTTTTTTGGCATTTGAGACGATATAAAAGTATTTTAAGGGATGCGCAAAAAATGAAACGTAACGATCTTTTTGGGACGGAAGGAGTATTACTCAAATGAGGATTAATTGAGGGTATTTTTTATCCGCTAAATTTAGAATTTAATTCTTAAAATAATTATTTATAATGAAGTGCTTTCCCAAAATGATTTTTCTAATTAAAGATGTGTATTTGATTTGAAATTTAAAAGATTTTTTTAAGTTTTAAATAATTCATAAATTATTTATAGTCAATGTATTTTTTAAATTTTACATTTTGTTGTACAGAAATGATTATTTCGAGAATATATTTTAAGTTTGGATGATCAAAATACCAAAATATCTCCCAATTAATTCTCATTTGAAGACTGATTTGGGAAAACACTTTATCCCCATTTTGGAAAAGCACTTCATTATAAATGATTGTTTTAAGAATTGATTCTAAATTTAGCAGATAAAAAGTACCCTCAATTAATCCTCATTTGAGTAATATTATTTACGAAGGACCATCTTGGGAATAAATCTCAATTATAAAGGACCACATATGTAATTAAAACTTATTGAGGACTGATTTGGGAAAATACCTTATTACAAAGGACTATCTTGGGAATAAATTTCAATTATAGAGGACCATGTAGATAATTAAAACTTATTAAGGACTGATTTGGGAAAATTCCTTATTACAAAGGACTATTTTAGGAATTTACTCATATTTAATAGTTTAATTGAACTTTGAAAGCATTTTAACTAAATGTTACTCTTAAATACTTTCTCTGTCTCCTTAGATAATCGTTTTGACTTGTTGTCCATAAATCTTTTCATCACATTTTTTTAACATTTAAAATATTACAAATATCTCTATATATTTACTTTATTTATTACACCACATTCATTTCATTTAATATACTCTACCCTTTTCATTAATGGTATTTTGGTAAATTTACATTTTTTCAACTCTTCTTAAAAATAACAAAAAATCAAAACAAGAACATCTTAATGAGATCGAATTTTAAGCGCTAACGCCAGCCAAATTAAAAGCTACCATATGATAATTTACTTAAAATATATAGAGTACTATAGTTTTCATTAGAGACCTAACCAAGGTGACAATGAGGAGATGCAAAAAGAGGCAACGTTTCATGTAACATGGAGCGCTCACACATACGACGAACAAACTCTTCTCAGGCCATGTTTGGAAAGAACATTTTCATCAATTAGAAATAATATTTTAGATAACTCTTTAATGGTGTGGATTGAACGTTTGCAACAATTCCAGTGTATAACTTTAACATTTTGAAAAGATTATCTACCGATATTGGCTAGCTTTAACATTTTCAAAATTAATTAACAAATTTAAAAATTTATTCAAAATGTAAACACTATTAAAAAACGTTAATCTCAAATAAGATCTAACTTTGAAAACGTCATAACTAAATTGGATAATTAGATAAGAACATTTTCAAAACATTAAGGTAGTGTTTAGCAACTAGCATTTCATTTCAATTCATGCATTTTAATTCTAAAATTTGAAATCCTGAATTTCAAATGACAATGGGAGGTGCATGGATTTCAAATTAAGCTTGGTTTTGAATGTAAAAAATTTGATTCATATCCAAATTCAAAATGCTTGAGTTTCCCAAACATGGAATTTAAGCCAAATCCGGATTTGAAATCCAAACCCATATTCCCAAACATACCATAATTGTATTTTGGTAACTTTACATTTTTTCAACTCTTCTTAAAAATAACAAAAAAATCAAAACAAGAACAAAAAAGAGGTAATGTTTCAGTTCCAACAACGAAAAATGATGATCATATTATTCATGTAACATGGAGCGCTCACACATACGACAAAGCCATGTTTGGAAAGAACACTTTCATCAATTAGAAATAGTATTTTAGATAACTACTTTTTAATGGTGTGGATTGAATGCCTGCAACAATTCCACAGTATAATTTTCACATTTTGAATAGATTATCTAACGATATTGGCTAGCTTTAACATTTTCAAAATTAATTAACAATATTAAAAAATTATTCAAAATGTAAACACTATTGAAAAACGTTAATCTCAAATAAGATCTAACTTTGAAAATGTCATAACTAAATTGGATAATTAGATAAGAACATTTTCAAAACATTAAAAGAACAATTTATTTCTTTTGAGATAACTATCTAATCCATTTTGAGGAAAATGTTTATCCTTTACTTAAAGATAGGTGCAAAAAATGTTTCATTGTTAAACTCAACAATCAATCACGGGCTGGAAAGCCGTCAATTATGCGCTAAAGTTGTTACTTTACTTTGCATTAATTACCTAACTACATTGGCCTCTTGTCTCTGTCTGTGTATATATATACTCCCTATAATGCAACGCTAAACCCCCATCGTAATTCTAAAATTCTACTCCTTTATCTCTTTTAATTATTCTTCTTTGAACAATTCTTTTCTCATATATATCTTCATAAGTTTTTTTTATCTTCATTTTCATTTTGGAATAATACTAATGCGTAATATATATAGCCAATGTTTTATTAATTATGATTTGGGGCTTCACTGTCTTGTTGACGGAATTGATATTTGTTTCCGATCAATTCGTAACCATGAAGCTATATCATATGTATTCAGCTCGCCATTGATGGATATATATCGATTGCAATCTTCACATTGGTTGCAAATATTGGTGGTTGAAAACATGCCTTCTTTCATAGTCTCACATTAATTCATATGTTTATTATTTGCAAAGTTAAACTTTATTTATTTTTCTTTTCATATTTTTGTTAGTCATTTGATAAAATAATATAGTCTTGTCATCACTAGTTTTGCACGAAGTAAATCTTTTGATCTAGTTTTTAAATGTGTAAATTTTTTAGTTTTAAACCATTTTCATATAAAATGATTTGAAATTAACTTCAGACCACATCGTAAACTGAAATAATATAGTCTTATCATCACTAGTTTTGCACGAAGTAGATCTTTTGATCTAGTTTTTAAATATGTAATTTTTTTTAGTTTTACACCATTTTCAAATAAAATGATTTGAAATTAACTTCACACCACATCGTAAACTGAAACAGACGATTTAGATTGGAACGGAGGAAACATAATTCTACACATTTGTTGCAATATACTCCATCGGTCCCAAAAAAAAGTCACAATTAGTGTTTTGGGCCTCTGGATAATTTTTCAACAAAAAAAAAATTTACAACTTAATATCTATCCTTAATAGAGTATCTTTCATGTACTCCGGGTATGTATTATTTTAATATCACTTCTGTTCGTCTTGGGTGGGCGTTCCATCTTTTTTTAATATCACCTCTATTGTGTACAAATCTTTGATCCCTCCATTTTTCCCTAACGGTGGTGGCGCCACGTTAGAGCTAAGCCGGCGAAGAAGAAGAGAGACAACGGTGGACCCCGCCTAGGGGTTGTTGGAGAGGAAGAAGAAGAAAAAAGAAATAGAAAAGGAAAAAGAAAAAAAGCGTTAAATTCTTTTTATTGACTTGAATGACAATCAAAATGTTTTTGTTGTTGAAAGATTTGCTAAATTTTGAATACGCATCTTCATGATACAAAATAAAGTTTGTATATTTAATTGAAGTAACATTCAAACTTTGACTACGGTTGTATACTCATGGAATGTTAGTTCGGAGTATATACGAACTATTAAGGCAAAAAAATATGGAAGGGTAAAGGCATCACCTATTAGAAACTTGTCATCAAGCCATGCTTGTTGGTGTAGGTAGTCAAATGTTGTAAAATCATTCTTATAAATTGGAAAATTTGAGACATTCTACCGTTTCTACTTCTTGTATTGTGTTTTGATCATAAATTATAACATGTAAGGATGTCTACTAATCTTGTAAGGTAGGTAGTTCTCCACAACTATCACATGCATTATTGGTACATAAATTTCTCCCTCCTTGATGTAATCTTTATACTTTTCAATATGGGATTCCTTAATTTGAGCATGAATACAGCTTGGCTTCCCCGCGTGGACAAAGCAAAATTATAGCAAATTACATACAAACAAATATAATAAAAACTCAAGAACATTGTCAAAATTATATACTCCCTCCCTTTCTTAAAACCCTTCCTCTTTCATTTTTTTGTTTTTCTTAAAACACTTCCCTTTTTTATTAAAAAACCATATTTACCCCTACTTTTTCATACCCTACCTATCACATCATACTTTTTCACTAACAACTAAATTATTATATCTTACTTTTATCCATCACATCAAGGACAAAATTGGAAAGTCAACTACAGTTTAACACTTTCTTATTTCTCCTCAAAGTCAAAAGAAGAACTCTTTTGAGAAACGGAGGGAGTAATATATTATCTCCAAGTGATCTCTGATATTTGTCATGAGATACAATGCCCATTGTCTTCCCATGTCTTTCCCTTGCCGGCACATGATAGACACGAATTATCCTCAGCCTTAAGCACCAGTCGGTCGTGAGTGAGTAATATTTTTTACGGCGAAAAACATCTTTACAACTAACGTGTTGTAAAAGGTAATCTTGAGTTGCAGGTATAGTACTCGGATCCTTTAAATAGGTAAATAATTTAAAAAAAAACGTAGAGATGAAAATAGAATGGGAATCCTCTCATGTAGTGGACACTTTTAAATATGCATTGATCTGAGAAGAGCAAAGGTTTATATAGAATAATGAATGAAATGTTTTTTTAAAATATTTAAGAGAATATAAAATCTAATTGATCGAATAATGAATGGTCTTTTTTAATATAAAATCTTGGATTTTTTTAATAATTTAGAAAATATATTAATTTGTACATATGTATTATATTATTTATTTATTTTCAATGCAATGAATAAATTTAAATTAATATTATGATGTTTTTTAGATGGCAAAGAAATATTAAAAAAAAGCATACTCATGTATCATTCTTTATTTTGAGTGCAATATAGGTAAATAATTTTTTTTAAAAGAAGTGTAGACACAAAATTAAAATGGGAACGGTGTCATGTAGTGGACACGTATAAATATGCATTGAGAAAAGCAAAGGTTTTTTTATAGAATAATCAATGAAATGTTTTTTAAAGGGGTCTATATTATTTATTTATTATTAGTGCAATGAATAAATTTAAATTTTTAAAAAAAAGCATCCTCATGTGTCATTCCTTTATTTTAAGTGCAATATAGGTAAATAATTTTTAAAATAATCTTTCAAGTATTGGTAGTATAATTATTATTATTTATTGTTATCTCTTCTTTTTATGATCAAAACTTCATTTACAGGGCTGAATTCACGGGTCCATATTCATTGATTAGGAAATAAAATTGAAGTGCAAAGGTCTTCATTGAATAATTAATGGTATCACTTAATGATTGAATTTAATGGTGGTGGGCTACACTTAATAACCCTAGATTTATCATGGAATTGAGATCTGCCGTCCAGATTTTGCATCAACATGGGCGGGAAAATGAGTTTTTTTCACTACTTTTTTAATTCCCAAAATCTTTTGCTTTTGTATAGTAGTATAGATTATGATATTACGTTGGTTATTTTAAATGTGAGCAAATATGTACCCTATGAACTTCCTCAATTTGGGATTGCAATTGAAGTGTTAGGATATATATTTGCAAGTGTTTGTAGTTTTTTTTTACAATTTTTTATCGAACCGCCAAATAACTTCTGTTTTGTCTTTAATTTTAGGGAAAAATTAAATCAAAAAAACCAAATAATGTTATATATACCCTGTAGTAAGTACATTTTTGTCCAATTTCCAACCATAGCTTGTTATTTCATTTTTGTCAAGTCATTTTTTGACATGCTTCGTAAAATATAGCACACCTTTGAAGAAGAACAAAATAGTTGACTTGCTATACTATAACTTTTAGCAAGGCAAATTGATATGGTTGAAGGTACTCTCATGGAATATATCAATCCATATCATAGTTCAATTGCAATTTTTAAAATTTTTATATTTCTCAACACTAATATGAAGTAAAATTGTGCATTCTCACAAAAAAAATCTATTGCACTCAACTTAATGAGAAATTTAATTCCATATTTTGCTCAAAATATTATAACATGAAAACAATTGTAATAGAAGCTCAAAGTAATCAAGTAGACCCACACACATTTCCTCATCTTTATGACCATCTGGATTAATTTTAGATACATTTTAAACCTGATTACTTGCCTGTAACAAAACAAACACACACAAAAAACACTTAGTAATAACGCTAAGTAAGAAATATATGACATTCGATCATACATATGGACATAGCATAAACAACATAACATACATTTCATAGGTATTATGTTCTTGCTTGTTGCTTTAGTCACTTGAGCTATATACTCAATTTAGGCGCATAACATATTTTAGAGTAATGTTTGTTTATTCACAACTTACTTAAGAGTAATGACCTCTTTTGGAACGAAGGTCACGCTCCACTAATGAAAAGAGTTCATCGTTGGGTGGGTGAGATCCTTGTCCTTTTGAACAATAGTTCACCGATTTTCGTACATACATTTTTTACCCAGACTGCCACTAGCCTTAACAGGCACCACATGCCGCAAGAATTTATGGCATAACTTGTCTCTATATAATTCAAGTCAGTCATAAAGTTCTTCTACGTGGACTAAGTTCCATCTTACCATTCTTCATCTATCTCATGCATAAACATTTATGAATATCAAACCATCATCAATATAATACGCAAAACGGTCCAGCATTGAGTTTAGACACTCATACTTACAGTCATAGCGTACACAAACTCTTAGATTCCATTATTGACGTGAGAAAATAGACAACATCCATGCTTTCAATATCATGACAAGAGCGGTATATGGGAACCGCCATCCAGTAGTAGACTAAGAACCCTATTTTGTCTTCATTATGCTAAATGTTGTCTCTCTTATACTAAACATCAAACACACGCGCGCGCGTGTGTGTCTATATATATATATATATATATATATATATATATATATATATATATATATATATATATATATATATATATATATGGAAATGTTATCTTTATTATATGAATCATGAATAAGAAGAAAATTTTCGATGATTATGAGAAACTTGATATTCACATACTTATGGTCCTCCAATGTAACATCCATCACCCTATCATGACCTCTTTTATCATATGGGCCTCTCTAGGTTGTTCGACTAACAACCTTTCCATTCACATCTGCAAGCATCGAAACATTATATTAGACACAAGATTTATGTCATATACCATATATGCGAGTTAATGCAATAAGCAAAATAATGTAAATTATGCACACCAATTTATAAAACATCGTCAACAAAAGGCAGTGATTGTAATTCGTTAAATCCCATAGAACATGTGTTTCGATATAATATACTCCGTATTCATTTTGGAAAATAAAATCATTGATCATCCATTGGTCAAGTTTTCTCCTACCAAAAGTTTCCTGAAAACCAAAAATTTTTATACATGAAAACTTTAAGAGAAATGGAACTTTACACTTATTTAAATTTCGATCAATGTTCTTACTAGGATGCGCATGATACAATATTTAATTTGTACCTATGACGTACCAAAATTTTTGATTTGGTATGAAATTTTACGTTATACCGATTTCAGTCCTAAAATTTTATTTATAGTTCGAGATATATGGTTCTTTATGGGTTTTGGTACAAACTAGTATAAATACATTATTACCTAATTTATACTTAAAATTTAAAAAAATCATTTATTTTTGAAATAATGAAATATAAGAAGCTAAAATAAACTCAAGAAATATTTGTGAAACTAGATATATATTGAGTGGGCACTACATATATTGGATATATATTGCGCCCGCACCAGGGATCAAAGACCTCAACAATGCCATTTTTTTTTTAATTTTTTTAATTTTTGAGATATAGTAATTCTATTTGAAGATTCTGTTTCAGTTATCAATTTGATCATTTATCACGGAGCATTATCATCACTCACATTATTGATTAATTAATCGTATATATACTTTACCAGGGAGACGACAGATTATTACGCTCTCTAACGTTATTTATCACTCTCCCCTTTCAATTTCAGATCTCTCTCTCTCTCTGAGATCGAAATTTATTCTTTTGGAGGGTTCGCTTTTTCAGCGATCTATCTCCTTGATTGCGATAAACCGCTCCGCAATCACATTTCCCGAAACCGTTTGTTGCGGCGGTCCACGTGATTTGCAGGCCGGGAGCTCTGATTTTGCTCCGCCATGGCGGCCGCCAACGCTCCGATCACTATGAAGGAGGCTCTCACGGTAACGAATTATACTACTATTGCCGTAATCCCGGATCACATTTCTAGGTTATGCTATGCTATTCAGTATGGACTGATGATTGTCATAGCTGTTATGATTGCTCGATTTGTGCTGCTAGTTACTTTAGAATGTTAAATTTGTTGGATCTGTGGTGTGTCATTATTGACAGATCTGTGAACTTTAGAGTAGGAGGTGTGATGCTGTTTGTATGGAGTTTGATAAGATACTTTGTATTTTGTGACGTGTAATGCAGTTATCCAGCATAGGGGTTAATCCGCAGTTTATCACATTTACAAATGTCACTATGGAATCGGACAAGTTCATCTGTGTCAGGGAGACTGCCCCTCAAAGTAGTGTTGTGATCATTGATATGAACGCCCCAATGCAGCCTATGAGACGACCTGTTACAGCAGATTCAGCTCTTATGAATCCTGCATCCAGAATATTGGCTTTGAAAGGTATCTGATATTGGTTTCTGGTCCAGCAGATTCTTCCTCTGGCATCTATACAACTATACAAGTATGAGAACTGCATATAATGCGCATACATCAATATATACTTGAGATATTGGTTTCAGATTGTATGCAATTTATGCCTTAGTTGTCCCTAATCATCTTCTTTATGTGTGGGAAAAACATAGAGTTAGTGGAAAAGAAGTCATTAACATGTGGAAAGATCAAACCGAGAGAGCTGAGAGGATTTATTTTAGGTTCACTAGATGGGACTGGAGGAATTTAAGCATCATTTGATTTTGAAATAATGGCCTAATAGGTCATTTTTGATTAAGGCATTTTGAATGCTTTGATTTTTATATACGCCTAATAATTCTTCCTCCTTTGTGAAGCCCAAGTTTCAGGAACTACTCAAGATCATTTACAAATATTCAATATTGATGCAAAACAAAAAATTAAATCATACCAGATGCCTGAACAGGTACACATTTGCCACAATAAATAATTTGGTATGTGTTTTTTGAAGTACATGTTTTGCGTACTACTTTTCTTCATCCTAACTATTGTGAGTGTTGTGGACTTGTGGTATGCTTTCAATACACTTTATCTATAGGTTGTTTTCTGGAAGTGGATTACACCAAAGCTGCTAGGTCTAGTCACACAAATCTCTGTTTATCATTGGCCAATTGAAGGTATGTTAGATTTATGTCTCGTTATATTGTCCTCTTGGGATTTTACTGGGTTTGTTGTTGTTGTTGTTGCTGTACATTGTCCTCTTCATCCCTTCTTTAGTGATGCTAAATTTAGTCTGGCTTTGTTAGGTGACTCTGAGCCAGCAAAGATGTTTGATAGAACGGCAAATTTGACAAACAACCAGATAATCAATTATCGATGCGATCCTACAGAGAAATGGTTGGTTTTGATTGGGATTGCTCCAGGTTCACCAGAGGTTTGTGTTCTTATGATTCTTTAGAAATGTTATCCATGATTTGTAGCAAAAGTTTTGAATGATTTGTATACATCTAAAACAATGCTACTTATTTTTTCAATATTCAAATACTGTTTGCGTGAACAGAGGCCTCAACTTGTTAAAGGGAACATGCAACTATTTTCAGTGGATCAACAGCGCAGTCAAGCTCTTGAATCCCATGCTGCGGCATTTGCCACTTTTAGAGTGAGAAATACACCTTGCAATTCCTCAGATTTTGCATCTGCCTCCGCTTTTCTTGTTGACTGGTGTGCATCTTGTACTCAGGTGATAGGAAATGACAAGGACTCTATTCTGATTGCTTTTGCAACAAAAAGCTCAAATGCTGGTCAGATCACATCAAAATTGCATGCCATTGAGCTAGGAGCCCAACCAGGTTCTTTTCTTCATGTCTCAATTATAATCTCTACGACGTCAAGCATTGTAATTTCTAATCGTGTGAGCCTTTTTGGTATAGTTCTTTCTGAGGGACCTTCCATCTCTGTACCCAACTACCCACCTCACCACATAAAAATGTTTGATGATGAAATCCTAGAAGGCTGAGCATTTATTGTTCCATGCATTTTTTACAATGTTTTTACTAATTCTTATGTTCATTTTCTGTGTTACTGTTATGATCAGGAAAACCGTCCTTTACAAAGAAACAGGCAGATCTTTTCTTTCCTCCTGACTTTGCTGATGATTTCCCAGTTGCGATGCAGGTATTCTTGATTTTTCTTTGTTATAAAAGTCATATTTTCTTGCAAATGTTAGCAGACTAATTATACAGTAACATGTTTTTTTGTGTGCAGATATCGCATAAATACAGTTTAATTTATGTAATTACGAAGCTTGGACTTCTATTTGTCTATGACCTTGAAACGGCTACTGCAGTATACAGAAATAGGATCAGTCCAGACCCTATTTTTTTGACGGCAGAAGCTTCATCTGTGGGGGGTTTCTATGCTATCAATAGGCGAGGCCAGGTGCTGCTTGCCACAGTGAATGAAGCAACACTTGTGCCCTTTGTTAGTGGCCAAGTAGGTGAACTCTTTCTCTGTTATTCTAGTATTAGAAATATGATACAAATTTTAACTTGAAATCTGTAAACTGATATGTATTTGCAGTTGAATAATCTGGAACTTGCTGTCAATCTTGCCAAGAGAGGAAACCTTCCTGGTGCTGAGAATCTGGTCAGTTGGTGTTTCTCACCTTGAGCTTTCTGTACTTTGGAATTCCATCCCCATCCTTTAAAAATAGTGGTTTCAATCGGATAAGGCATCTACACATCTCAATTTTCAGGTGGTAAAGCGTTTCCAGGAGTTATTTGCCCAAGCTAAGTATAAAGAGGCAGCCGAGCTTGCTGCAGAGTCTCCCCAAGGCATTCTTCGCACTTCTGATACTGTTGCCAAATTCCAGGTAATTTTTAATTTTCATTTGCTCACCCCAAGTTCAAGTGTGACATTATTTAGGTTTGTGTTTCAGATTTTGTATTGCCATTAGATCCTATTAAAGTGCTAAGTGCCCACAATTAATGAGGTAGAATAATTTTTCACGATAGTCTTTATCCCAAGTAACTTGGGCTGGCTACATGAACTAATAAGAGAATCATGTTTGGTCATTCCCAAAAGTTCTCTCTCTCTCTCTCTCTCTCTCCCTTTCCATTTCCTTCTATCAATAGCCACACCCTTATCTAAATTCACATAAGACAAATCACTCCTAATCACTTCTTTCCACGTCCGGGGTCTTCCTCTCTTGCAAAAATCATTTCTCCATCCATGAAGGTCTTTGTATTTGTCCAAAGTACCACCATTCAATTCTATTACAATTTATCTGTGATAGATGCCACTCCACCTTTTTTTTGAATGATCACGTTCCTTATTATATCCTCCGTAGTATGCCCACATATTCATTGTAATATATGCATTTCAGTTACCTACATTTTCGTAACATGACACTTCTTAGCAGTCAACATTTTGAGCCTTTCAAGGTTTGTTCTCTGAGACTTGTTTTCTCCAGACTCTAACCTAAAACTCCATACTTCAGATTTCTTTTCTAAGCCATAGTACCTCTGTCCCAGAGTAGGGGTAAGGTCTGCATATGCACGCCCCTACAGACCCTACTTTCGTGGGGTTTTACTGGGTTGTTGTCATTGTCCCGGAGTATTCGTCCAGTTTGACTTTTAAATTGGACAAAGAGTGATCATCAATTAAATAAAATGGTATTGGATATTATTTCAAAAATGATTTCATTAGATTTATCTTGCGGAAAACTATTAGAAACTTATTTCATTGTATTAATATGCAATGCAAATTTTATGTAATTGATGATTAAAGTCTGTCGGAGTATGACATGAAAATCGGAGTTTGATATGAAAAAGCCAGACATGACGAAGACTATGGAATGCAGAGGGTACTAATTTAAGACTTCCCACTTAAGACTCTGGACTTCACTCAAGAAATAAGTTTAGAGAACAAACCCATAATGGTGCTGGTTGAATTGTTGTTATGTAGAACTTTTCTTTAAGCTTTAATGTTATATATCACGGCTACAAACAACTCCATTTGCACTCCTCCACTTCAACCAACCCACCTTTACTCGATGCTCATCTCTATCTAATTTTCCATCTTTTTGTTTAAATGAATCAATATATGTGAAATGATCAATAACTATGAAACAATTTCTCATGATAGTATATTTTTTTTTTGTGTTTTGCTCTATTTGTCTAATGCATCTCATCACTACCATGCTCTCACCCTATTAAACTGGCCATCAGTGAATCTACATTGAAGTATTGATTATTGAACATATCTACAAGATCATAATTGTTTCTCTCTAGGTTTGTCCTAAACCAGCACCACGATTTGTTTTATTTTTATCAAAGGTATTTCTAGCATGGTCCATTGTAGAGTATTTATGATAGGGCCCATTACAAGGTTCTCCCTCTGCTATCTTCATCTTTCCTTTTTGGTTAGACCCTGCTCCCTAATTAGTATTCCCGATTCTTTTTAAGAGAATTGTTGTATGGTCCATATTAATTCCACTACAATCACTCGAGGTTTACATGACCTCGAGATTCATACAACTCATTCTACAATTCGAATCCTTAGGGTTAGTTTTTGCATCGTATTGAATTTCATAGTCTATGGACAACATATTTTATTTCTTTATAAATCTTAACCACACACTTTCATTTATTAAACTCTGTATAAAAAGCAAATAGGAGCATTACAAAGGGACAGAGGGAGTATTTATTAAATGGCTTATTGGCTTTTATTGTAATTTCACTAATCTTTGATCTTGACCATTTCAGTATCGTACTCCTTTTTCAGCATTTATTGTTCAGCTCATAACTTCTCAATTTAGCATGTTTCATTTTGTAGTTGTTTGATACAGTTTGCATATCATGTATAGAAGCTGTAGGAATTTTCATAAATTTCTGCACTATCGTGGGATCCAACTGGGTCGTTGTTGTTGTAAATTTCTGCACTATAATCTATACTATCAACTGATTATTCCTGAAAGAAATAGGATCAATGTGATTAGTTAACACTTACAAATATGTTTTTCTTGTTTGTAGAGTGTTCCCTTTCAAGCAGGACAAACACCGCCATTGCTTCAGTACTTTGGGACACTTTTAACTAGAGGAAAACTCAATGCATTTGAGTCATTGGAACTTTCACGCCTTGTTGTGAACCAAAATAAAAAGAACCTCCTGGAGAACTGGTTGGCAGAAGATAAGCTGGAGTGCAGCGAGGAACTTGGGGACTTAGTAAAGGTTATTTTAACATCAACAATATACCTGGCATAAAGTGATCTCGTCATTTTAAGTTCGATTTTCTCTGTTATGTTTTATTATGCTTAATTGAAATTTTTTTCTGAGCGTGACATTTTTGTTAATCCTCAGTTATTCTAATATTAAAACCTCTGTAGACTGTTGATAATGCTCTGGCATTGAAGATATACATCAAAGCGAGGGCAACTCCAAAAGTTGTTGCAGCATTTGCTGAACGCAGGGAATTTGACAAGATTTTGATATACTCCAAGCAGGTTAGCACCATGTGGTCATACATCCCGTATATTCCTCTCACATGAATTTGGCATCTCAAAATTTTTCATTGAAGAGCTAAATTCTCTCACATCTAGTGATAAGGTGGACATAGTCTTTCTTCAACAGTCAGTGATAAGATCATAAAATGTACCATAAAACTCTGGTTTCTTCTGTACAGGTTGGATATACACCTGACTATCTTTTCCTCCTGCAAACAATTCTCCGATCTGATCCTCAGGTAAAAGCGTAAAGCACTTAGTGTGATTTTTGCACATGATATGCATATCTATTTTTCTCTGCCTGTTCTCCCCATGAAGTTCTGAATGTACCTTTTCCTAGTGTTGTGTTTACCCAACTTAAATTGCTTTCTGATTATTAATGATGCTTTGGCATGGTTCAGAACTTATCCATTTCTCTTCCTAAGCAAATGAATGAAATGTAATTACTGTGTTAAGGGTTCCTTATGCTGATGTAGCTAAACTAACTTTATACCTCATAATTGCAGGGAGCTGTAAATTTTTCCCTTATGATGTCCCAAATGGAGGGGGGCTGTCCTGTTGATTACAACACAATAACTGATCTGTTTCTTCAGGTTTGTACGTATATATTGTTTTTGGCATAGATGACCGATTTTGTGTGTTAGAGAAATGCTCTTATCCTGTAAGGGATGAACATTGGTCATTTTTAACGAGAAGTTTTTATCAGAGGAACATGATTCGTGAGGCTACGGAATTTTTACTGGATGTTCTGAAACCAAACCTTCCAGAGCATGGTTATCTGCAAACAAAGGTTGTATCTTGTGCAATAATTGCTATGAAGCTTGTCTTGGTTTGGGCATGTTGGGTTCATCATCATAGTGACTTAAAATCTTGATTCAGGTGTTAGAGATAAATCTTGTCACTTTCCCAAATGTGGCGGCTGCAATTTTAGCAAACGGAATGTTTAGCCACTATGATCGTCCACGAATTGCTCAACTTTGTGAAAAAGCCGGCCTTTATGTGCAAGCTCTCCAGGTTATATTCTTTCCCATCTTTAATTGTTTATTTATATTTTCTATTTTACTGCAATTGGCTTGTGGGTCTTATTTTATTTTCTTTTTTCTGTTTTGTTGCTTTTCTCCAAATCTAAACCATGCAGTTTGGTGCTTTTTTTTGCAGCACTACAATGAACTCCCTGATATTAAGCGCGTCATTGTGAATACACATGCAATTGAGCCTCAGGTTGGGCATAATTAATATATTGCATATGCTTCCATATTGTGGCAGGCTGGCAGTTATTAAACAAACTAACTTTATTTTGTTGAGTAGTCTCTGGTCGAATTTTTTGGTACACTATCACGTGAGTGGGCGTTGGAGTGCATGAAGGATCTTTTACTGATTAATCTAAAGGGAAACCTTCAGATTATTGTTCAGGTATACACTCATATCCTATTACGTGCTTTTACATGACATTGTTATTGAATAACGTAGAGACTCACAAACAAGTGAGGTACGTTAATATACAAAGTGACGGTTCTTCATTCATTGTAGTGATTGTGCTTGTTGTATATGCATTATGCAGGTTGCAAAAGAATACTGTGAACAGTTGGGTCTTGATGCATGCATAAAACTTTTTGAGCAATTCAAGTCATTTGATGGATTGTATTTCTTCCTAGGATCATACTTGAGTTTAAGGCATGTGTGTTGCAATGAGAATCTGCTACTGTCTAAAATGTTCACTAGTAGTACTAGTATTTACTTGTTAATGTATGTATTTGCATGCAGTGAGGATCCTGAAATTCACTTCAAGTACATTGAGGCGGCTGCAAAGACGGGACAAATCAAGGAGGTTGAACGTGTTACAAGAGAGTCCACTTTCTATGACCCTGAAAAAACAAAGAACTTTTTGATGGAAGCCAAACTTCCTGATGCCCGACCTCTGATTAATGTATGTGACCGCTTTGGTTTTGTTCCAGACCTCACTCACTATTTATACACAAATAACATGCTAAGGTACATTGAAGGTTACGTCCAAAAGGTACTATCCTCATACCACACTTATTACTATCAAATTTTTGCTTTTCTATTTTTCAAGTTTTGTTCATTGTAGGTAAATTGTTGTCCATTGGCAGGTTAATCCCGGAAATGCTCCATTAGTTGTTGGACAGCTTCTGGATGATGAGTGCCCTGAAGATTTCATTAAGGGATTGATCCTATCTGTACGATCTCTGCTTCCAGTTGAGCCCTTGGTTGAAGAATGTGAGAAAAGGTAACAAAGTATGTCTTATCTTCATTCTTTATTCACAGTCTTTGTTAATTTTCCCATCTTTGCTTCTCATGACTTTCAGGAATCGTCTTCGACTGCTTACTCAATTTTTGGAGCATCTTGTGAGTGAAGGGAGCCAAGATGTGCATGTTCACAATGCACTGGGTAAAATCATAATTGACAGCAACAACAACCCAGAGCACTTCCTTACAACCAACCCATATTACGATTCACGTGTTGTGGGTAAATATTGTGAGAAGCGTGATCCCACTCTTGCTGTTGTTGCATACCGGAGAGGGCAGTGTGATGATGAGCTTATTAATGTAACTAGCAAAAACTCATTGTTCAAGCTTCAGGCCAGGTTCAATGTTTATTCAATTATTACTTCGTATTAATAAACCAGTTCCTTGATGACATTTGGATTTGATCCCCATCTATTTTTTATGTTTAAAATTCACTGTTTCTTTAGGTATGTAGTGGAAAGGATGGATGGTGATCTTTGGGAGAAGGTTCTGAACTCTGAAAATGAATTCAGAAGGCTGCTTATCGATCAAGTCGTATCGACTGCTCTTCCTGAAAGTAAGAGCCCAGAACAAGTGTCTGCAGCAGTCAAAGCATTCATGACTGCTGATCTTCCACACGAGTTAATTGAGCTTCTTGAAAAGATAGTTCTCCAAAACTCTTCTTTCAGCGGGAACTTCAATTTGCAGAACTTGCTTATCTTGACTGCCATTAAAGCAGACTCCTCTAGGGTTATGGACTACATAAACAGACTTGATAACTTTGGTGGACCTGCAGTTGGTGAAGTGGCTGTTGAGGCCCAACTGTATGAAGAAGCTTTTGCAATTTTCAAAAAGTTCAACTTGAATGTCCAGGCTGTGAGAGTTCTTCTAGATAATGTTAGGGACATTAATCGGGCTGTGGAGTTCGCTTTCCGTGTTGAAGAAGATGCAGTGTGGAGTCAGGTTGCCATTGCTCAGCTTAGAGAGGGATTAATTAGTGATGCTATTGAGTCATTCATTCGTGCAGAGGACGCCACCCACTTCTTGGAAGTTATCCGTGCTGCTCAGGATGCGGATGTTTATCATGACTTGGTGAAGTATCTGTTGATGGTAAGGCAGAGAACAAAGGAACCCAAGGTTGACAGTGAACTTATCTTTGCATATGCCAAAATTGATCGGCTGGGTGAGATAGAGGAATTTATTCTCATGCCGAATGTTGCTAATCTGCCCAATGTTGGTGATCGTTTGTTTGAAGAAGGTTTATATGAAGCTGCAAAGATAATTTTTTCCTTTATTTCTAATTGGGGAAAACTGGCAAGCACACTTGTAAGGTTGAAGCAGTTCCAAGGTGCCGTTGATGCTGCTCGCAAGGCAAATAGTGCAAAGACGTGGAAAGATGTCTGCTTTGCTTGTGTTGATGCTGAGGAGTTCCGATTGGCTCAGATTTGTGGGCTTAACATCATTGTGCAGGTATCGTTTTATGTCCTTGTTAAGGCACCTTTAAAATGAATCAATGTTCCTTTTCATAAGGCATTATTTTTCGAATGAAGCATTTATTTATTTTTTTTTTTCAATTCTTTGGCCCTAATAAATTTTGTGTTCATATTTATTTTGTTAAAGTATCTGTTTACTTGTCTTAGTTACTACTTGTTGGTCACTGTGTCTGCCTCTTTTGTATTAGGTTGTTTTTTAAAATATTTTTTATTAACTAGTTTATCTTCACACTTTCCTTCTTTCATCCCATAATTATCACTCCTTTATTTTTTTATGAAAAACTATGTGGTTCACGACTTCACGCTATTTCTTTTTTCCAAATGAATTCAACTCCACTTTTCATCATCTTGAACTAATTTAATACTTCTATAGCTTTAGAAGATTTGTGATGTTTGTGTTTAAATATGCAAGTCTTCTTTCTTATATGAAAAAATTAGAGAAAATTGTAAGTATCTTTAATCTTTCCTGGGTTGTGTCTTATATTAAGTATTATTTTCTCGTTAATTCTCATCGCAAAGCAAAATCTGGATTTCTAATGCTGAATCTGTTTTTGCAGGTGGATGACCTAGAAGAAGTGAGTGAGTACTATCAAAACCGGGGATGCTTCAATGAATTAATATCTCTTATGGAGAGCGGGCTAGGATTGGAGCGTGCACATATGGGTATCTTCACCGAGCTTGGTGTATTGTATGCCAGATACCGACATGAGAAGCTGATGGAACACATCAAATTGTTCTCAAGCCGTCTAAACATTCCTAAACTTATCCGAGCATGTGATGAGCAGCAACATTGGAAGGAGCTTACTTATCTCTACATCCAATATGATGAATTCGACAATGCTGCAACTACTGTCATGAACCATTCACCAGATGCTTGGGATCACATGCAGTTCAAGGATATTGTCGTTAAAGTTTCCAATGTTGAGCTCTATTACAAGGCCGTTCACTTCTATTTGCAAGAACATCCTGACCTGATTAATGATCTTCTAAATGTCCTCGCCCTAAAGGTGGACCACACACGTGTGGTAGACATTCTTAGAAAGGTAAAATATATTATTAATTAACCTTCCTAGGCATGTTTTGTGCTCAAATAATTATTGGTGGATTGCTTTTTTGTCCCTCAAACATTTAGCTTTAACAATTCTAGTCCATGAAAATATTTCATTTTTGCGACTTATTAATTCTACTGTTGGTGCACGGATATGAATTTTGTTTGTCACTGTTGGTCCGTCTGATCATTTATTTGGTCAATTTGCGTACAATTTCAGTTGTTAATTTACTAAACAACTGACCAAAAAGGACCACAAGTGGAAAAAATTGAATGCTAGGGACCATAACTGAGATTGACCTTAGAGTCATGGACCAAAATTGGAAAAAATTGAATGCCAGTGACCATAGATGGGATTGACCTAAGAGTCACGGACCAACTAAAGTGGAATATTTTCTTGAGTCCATCATTGTTAATTCTTGCAAAAGAATCCTGGTTATACCACATAAGACCAAAAGTTAATGACTACCCACAAAAGTCTCTAAAGCTACATAATTGAGGGACTAAAATATGACGTAACCAATTTATATTTATTTTGACTATAATGCTTAACTATTTGTGATGTTTTTAAAATAAAAATAGGCCGGCCACCTGTGTCTGGTGAAGCCATATATGGTTGCTGTTCAGAGCAACAACGTTTCCGCTGTTAACGAGGCCCTTAATGAGATATATGTTGAGGAAGAGGACTATGATAGACTACGAGAATCTATTGAATTACATGACAGCTTTGATCAAATTGGCCTTGCACAAAAGGTGGTGAAAACTTATGTATCATTATATATCTTCTACTTATCAATCTATTCAGCATAGTAAATCAGTAAAGCTTTTTTCCCTCTGCTACCAGATTGAGAAACATGAGCTTCTTGAGATGAGGCGTGTTGCTGCTTCTATTTACAAGAAGGCAGGTCGGTGGAAGCAATCCATTGCTCTTTCCAAGAAAGATAATCTATACAAAGATGCCATGGAGACGGCCTCACAATCTGGGGACCGTGAACTTGCTGAGGAGTTGCTTGTTTATTTCATTGATCAGGTAACAACATTGTCTTTTTCTTTTTCATTTCACATGTTCATAAAATCTTCCTTTATCTCAAAATAACCGTCTTATTTCAACTGAAGAACATACATTTCAATCAATTTAGTTGAAATTTTCTAGAGAAGTCCAAAACATATTCAGTATGCTAAGTATGTAAAATTTAATTTTTGAATCCACAAATATAATTAGGATTTGTAATTTACAAGTATTGTACCTTACCGATACAACAATGCTAGAAGACTGCCTTGATGAAACAGTAATTGCTTTAGCAAAGGACACTAGATTACTGGAAGTTAAATAGTTGGATCTAAGCAATGTGTTTTCTATATTTTTTTGCAGGGAAAGAAAGAGTGCTTTGCCTCATGCCTCTTTGTATGTTATGATTTGATCCGCCCAGATGTTGCTCTTGAACTCGCCTGGATCAATAAAATGATAGACTTTGCCTTCCCTTATCTGTTACAGGTCACTCATTCTTTTACTCTCGCCTCTCGCGTTTGCTTAATTTTAAGTTTTTATATTCTCCTTTTGTTGCACTATTTTGTCCCTTTTATCTGTTCATATCTGTCTCATTAATTTTATATCATACCATTTTTACTTACATTTGTGCGACTCTACATTATCCTTATGTATTTTCTTACTTTTTAACTTAAAAAATGGACCACATAATTCCACTATTAAATTTTAAGATCAACCACTTTTTCTAATTTTGTACTCTCTCCGTCCAAAAGTTATATATCGAGTTACTATTCACCTTGTCAAATCATATTTCTTCTCTTACATATTTTCATTGACTATTTGTTAAGATAGATTTTTGGGTTAATTTCTAAATATATACAAGCTTTTTTCTGCACTAATGATTAAATAAATTGAGTTGAAAATAACTTCAAACATTGTAAACTGAGCCGGGAAGATAATGGGACGGAGGGAGTAATTTATTTCACAATGTTCAGGATAATATTGACATGAATCTTAAGTTTTTTTTATTTTCACCTCCCTTTGCCAGTCAGTGCATTGAGATAAATATCTGGACACATTCAGTAATTTGCCCTAATTTTAAAGGAATGAAAGAGAACCTTTTTGCCAGCATCTGAATATTCTCTTGGGGTTGTTTCTCTTGCAGTTCATTCGTGAGTATACAGGCAAAGTTGATGAACTAATCAAAGACAAAATCGAGGCACAAAATGAAGCAAAGGCAAAGCAAAATGAAGAAAATGATATTATGAAACAACAGGTACTTGCTTCTATACATATATTTTTTTTTATTGGATTTACACTGTAATAATAAAAACATACAATTTGTTGCAGAATATGTACGCTCAGCTGCTCCCGCTTGCTTTACCCGCGCCACCAATGCCAGGAATGGGTGGGGCTTATGGTGGACAGCCACCGCCCATGGGGATGCCACCACCATTTGGCATGCCACCCATGGGTCCATACTAACCTGCAGGCATATACACTCTACACGATTGTTTACCAAAATGATTATGAGGACAAAGTCGGAAGCCAATTATTCAGGTCCTTTTTTACCTTTTCTTTTTTTTTCCTTCAATTTTTTCCTAGATTTACTTGCTCAATTTCCTGCATTGTATTAATTGGAGACTACTTTAGAAATAATCACTGGCTTGTGCTATAGGGTTGTGTTGATATATATATTTGTAATATTCGTTTAGAAGAGGCAATTTTTTTGCAGTTAGGGGACAAGCTGAGGATGTGATTGTCTTTTTGCTTGCTGATTATTAGCCCAACTTTGTACTTAATTTTGTGGTTTGAGACATTGAAAGTCTTTTTCTCTTTGTATATATGATTGATGAATGATATATATGTCCCAGTTTCTAATTGCTCTTCTACAGTATTTTTGTAGCTTTGATCTCATTTACTTTACAATTCCCCTGTGTGTAGTTAGATCACGTTTGGCAATCTCGAATAACCAACGTTTGTGTAGATAGGTCACTACACAAACTTGTTATTTGTGTGTGTAAATTTTTATTTTTAATTATTTAAAATTATTTTATTCACTTGGAAAAGTGTACAAATGTCAACTTTGAATAGTTTGTGTTCTATTTGTTTGTGACTTTAGTATTACTCTTAATATAATGCATTTGTTGTGTGTTAGTTTGATGGCAAAGTAGTCAATTATTCCTACAAAACATAATTTTCTTTTATCTCTTGGGAAATGCAAAAAAAAAAAAAAGATTTCTCTAAGAGATCTTGAGTTCAAACTGCACAAACTTGATCTTTGTGTTTGAAATAGAAAACGATTATTTCCGAATGACCCATGGATGAATGTCGGAAATTACATTGACTCGCTACTATTTCATTCTTGAAAAAGGATAGATAGTTTAAAGAATCATTTTGTTTTACTCCCTCCGTCCTAAAACTTTCTTCCCGGTTCGCAAAACGAAAAAAATTCCAAGTTTTTTCAATCTATTTTATTTAAATATTGGTATAGAAATAAAAAATAAAACATACATATTTAAAAACTACATCAAAAGTTTAACAAAACAAGTAGTGACAAGAATATTTTATTTTATCATATAGGCCATGAGAAAACACAAATAAATATCAAATCCCGTGAAGTTGGAATAGTGCTCTGGGAAGAAAGTTTTAGGACGGAGGGAGTATTATATTACGAAGTATAATTCAAAGCCAAGAAATAGTGAATCTTGGGCTTCATATGAGATGATGGAAAATAAATTTCAATTCTTAACGTAAAATAAATTACAAAAATGTGAAACAGCTAGTTAATTCGTAGTTCCAATGATCAATTGTTTTTGACCTGCAAAAGGGTAGCTTTTTATAACATTGCGTTTGTATATCGGGTTATTTGAAATATACTTCGTATTCTGATTTAAGAGTAATAAGTTTCTTCATGTAATAAAAAATTAAGTAATTTGTTATAAAGGAGAATAATTTGTTCCATTATTGTTTGACAATCACTTAAAATTCACAATTCTACTTCCAAAGTCGAATCTAACTTGCACCGCTAGAAACGGTGAAACCATATGAAACGGTGAATTTAGGACATAATACTAATGCCTTCTCACTCTGCATCTTCATACTCCCTTTCTCCCGCAAAAAGTTTCACTTTCTTTTTTCATCCGTTCCAAAAAATACTTCTCATTTTCTTTTAAAAAGTCACTTTTGCTCTAACTAATTCTTAACATACCTATCACATCACATTTTTTCTATATTAATTTATACTCCGTATGTCTCATCCTACTTTATCCATCACATCAAAGAGTATTTTTAGAAAATCAATATTAAAATATACTCCTCTTAAATCTTCAAAAAGTCAAAACGAGAATTTTTTTAAGGGACGGAAGGAGTAATTTTTAATTATGAACTTAAATAAGAACACAACCTTTATAAAAAATGCTAATAATGTCACTTTTTTATTTTAAAAAATGCTAATAAGACTGGCTTGGTTTCAATTCCACAAACCATGGATTCGGGTTTTTTCCCATTCTCCTATTATATTCACATCTTTTTTTTCAGCTTTCATATTAGTGATTACATAATTACATATGTACACAATGAGAAAGTTACTATGTTTCAGTGCTAATTAGGTAAATTTTGCTATTGTTTTTGTATTCGCAAGGTGAACGAGATGGATCATCGTGCTCGATTAGAAAGGTATCAAAATAGGTGAACGAGAAAGGTATCAAAATAGGACTTTCATGTTTTTTTCTCGAAATAGGACTTCACATTGTGGTTATGTGATTGGCATTGTACATGTGCACATTACTATATTTTTTGATAATGTACATGACCATATTTGGTAATGTAAATGCATTTTAAGTCCTATTTCGAGAATAAAAACATGCAAGTCCTATTTTGATATATTTCTAATGTTTTAGTTCTACTTTTTCTTTCTCCTACATTATTAGTCCTCCATTCTGCATTGTTGGAACACAATGATAGCAGAAAAAGTAAATGTGCAATGATAATTAATAACTTAAAATGAAAAAAAGACTAAATTAAGAGTTTCATGTTTTTATTTTTTAAATAAAAGTTAAAGTGTATATACATACCAATCATGCCAATATAATACGGAGTATAAAAAGTACTCCGTATCATGATAAATCTATATACAGTGTACATCTTTATTTTGTGATAAAGATATGAAACTTTTATTTTAATTGTTTTTTATTTAGAATGATTTAATCTATTATATACAAAACCACAATTTAAAGAAGGAAAAATTACCCAAAATTAGGGGTGAGCATGGTACGGTATGTTACGGTATTTAGCTCGTACCGATACCGTACCAAATATTTCGGTTTGGTATGGGATTTTACTCCGTACCAATCCCGATCCCAAAATACCGGTTCGGTATGGTTCGGGATGGTTCGGTATCAGTTTCGGTATAAATCGGGATGAATATACATACCTACTTTTCACCTTAAAATTTAACAATGTCCCTTTATTTTTGAAAATTAAAAGTGAATTTAAATAAAAAAACATGAAAGATTAAAAAATGAATATTTAAATGCAAGAAATGCGTATCAAAACTTAGTTTATATTTCACTAACTAAAAAAATGAACGACAACAAAGGAGTATTTTGAATCTTTGTGAATACTTTTATGTTCAAACACAAAAATTAAAACTCAAATAAAAGTATAATTTACACATAATAGAACTTGAACCAACTTTTTTTTAAAAAAATTATTATTTAGTGAAGGAATATAAAAATATTACTCCGGGGTATTATTTTTTATAATATTTTAGTATATATGTTCGGTTCGGGATTTTCGGTATGGGAAGTCACCTTGTACCGTTCCCAAATACCGTACCGACCATTCGGTTCGGTACGGTTCGGTTCCTTCTCGGTACTTTTTCGGTTCGGTATTTTTCGGTTTGGTATTCTCGGTTTTTTCGGAAAAATTCGGTTTCGGTTCGGTACTTGCTCACCCCTACCCAAAATAATCCCAACTTTACCCGGTGTCCCGGTCTTTCAAAAATAATCTCACCTTTCACTGTGATGCATAATAATCCCAACTTTATTGAAATGTGTCAGTTTTGGGTCGCCGTTAAGTTTCTAACGGAGGGTTAACGGAAATGACTGTTTCAGGCAACAAAATGAAAGTTGGGATTATTTTTGATGAATTTTTGTTTTTGATTTTTTTTGAAATTTTTATTTAAATTTTTTGAATTACTTTCAACCTCCATTTCTTTTTCTTTTTTAAAGATTATTCTTACCTTAGAAAAAAATAGATACTCCGTATAAAAAATAATGAAAATGAGAAAAATAATTAAAACCATACAAAATTAATCAAATAAATAATGTAATCAATAGAAATTAAACAGAAATTGGTAAGAAATAAAATAAATATATACGGAGTGGTGGGTTTTAACATTTTACACACTATACGGAGTCTTAATGTACTGTTTATTTTTTAAAAGAACAAGCCGTCTGGTAAAGTTGGAATTGTTGTACATAATTTTTTCTAAAAAGATAAGAAGTGAAATGTTAATACTTTGTATAATGCGTAAAATATTAAAACTCACCCGTATATTTTTATTTTACTTTTACCAATTTCAAGTTAGTTTCAATTGATTACCTTATTTATTTTATTATTTTTGTATCATTTTAGTTACATTTCTCATTTTTTTTCATTTTTTATATAATCTATTATTTTTATTTTTTAAATTAAGACTAATCTTTAAAAAAGGAAAAAGAAATGATGATGGAGGTAGAAAGTAATTTAAAAAATTTAAATGAAAAATTTTAAAAAAAATAAAAAAAATGAAAATTCATCATTTTTATATCTATTATTTTTATTTTTTAAACTAAGACTAATCTTTAAAAAAGGAAAAAGAAATGATGATGGAGGTAGAAAGCAATTTAAAAAATTTAAATGAAAAATTTTAAAAAAATAAAAAAAATGAAAATTCATAAAAAATAATCTCAACTTTCATTTTATTGCCTAAAACGGGCATTTTCGTTAACCCACTGTTAGAAACTTAACGGCGACTCAAAATTGACAAATTTCAGTAAAGTTGGGATTATTATGCATCACAGTGAAAGATTAGATTATTTCTGAAAAACCGGGTAAAGTTGGAATTATTTTGGGTAATTTTTCTTTAAAGAATTTACTTGAAAAAATATTGTAAGAATTAGGGGATAATTGCTTCATCCTCTATTCCTCTCCGCGCCGTTCATTCATTTGGGATTTGCGAAGAACAGCGCAGCCTATGGTTCCGTTCGATGGCTATTTCTTTCAACTCTTTCCCCAGCTTCAATCCAGTCGTAGGCCTCCTCACTCGTTTTCTTAACCTACGAGACATTTATTTCTTTCTTTATTTATTCACTTTTATCCTCTGGTGATTTGATTCACAAATATGATAGATTTGGTCATTTTGGTGTTTCTGAATGGAAAAAGATTTGATTTTTTCCCCATTTTTGGGTAGGAAATTGGGTTTCTTGATCTTGTTCTTCCCCCTATTCATATGGGCTGAGCTTTAATTAGGATCCGATAAATCTATTTGCAAGACTTGATTTTTTGCTCTAAAAGAGGTTAATTTTCTCATTCCCAGTAGCCAATTTCATCAAGATTATGCAATATATCATTCTTGAATTTCATTGGTTTAGATGATTTTGATCCATTGTTTAGGCAACCATTGCTTGTTTTAAGTTGGTTCAATGCTTCTGATTAAAGTATCATTCATATCTTGCCAATCAAAGCTGCAGGGAAAGGGAATGAGTGTCCCCAAGTTTCTCCATTTCACTCATCCCTCGCATAAGGCATTGTTTGGCAGGGATGTGAAGGAGAACAAGAGGAATTCAAATTCAAGAGTCTCAAATAATGACCCTTCATCCGGAGAGAACAAACCGACAACTGACTCGTCATCTTCTTCCCCTGCAAAACCATCCTTCAAAAAGTCTTCTCCTCTAACAGTTAGAGACAAACTCAGGGCTGCTCGTGTTCTCAACCGTTACAACGAGCCAAACACGGCCTTAGATAAACCGGTGATGGGAAACAAACTGTTTGATGTTTTGCGCGAGGCTGAAAAGGGGAAGAAGAGAGGCCTCCCGGAGGCGCCAAATAATCTATTCGACGATGAAACCCGCGGGCTTCCGAAGCCGGGGTTGACTTTCGACCTCCCGGGAGGGTTTGACCTTTTTCTCATTGCGTTTTCGTTTGTTTTCATCAGCACGGTTATGTTTGGCACGACGTACATTGTGTGGAAAGTTGGTGCCATTCATTTCAATGAGTACTAGTTGAGGTGTGTTTGTGATACATGTCTTATATAATATGGATTGCTTGACAACTTTTAGCTATCATGTAGCATTTCAATTGAATTTAGTTTAGATTAGTTCAGTAAATTTCAAACGAAAAAGAGCTCTCTTTTGTTGTCTGGGTAATGTGACATTACACTCATATATAGTACCTATGAGAAATCAAAAGAAATAAAATGTCCCAAGGACTCTTAACAAATGCCTCTTATGTCACACTATTCTTGTCAATTATGATATACTCCGTAAGTTCCAATTTCCAAATTGTGGTTTCAAAACATACTTGGTACAAAGTATGATATGTGTTAAGATCAATTTGTACTTTACAAATTCAATATCAACGGTATGAGTTCAGAAATATTGTAAAGTTAGTAACAGAAGTGAATAAATTGTAAGAATGAACACAACTATTACGGGTTATGCGTTCAATCTTTTTCAAATAGTCACGGCCTCACGAGTACGGTGACCAAGCCGACCCGGTCAAACAAGATTCGGCAATATTTATAAGAACAATTTCAAAATGATTATCGACCGGTTGTTTTGAATCATTTAAATTATTGGTTACTCCATAATAAACTTGACTGGTCAATTTGACACAACTAAATGAACTTTTTAATTGGTGATCAAAAGTAGTTTTTGAAAGTTCAGAGATGAAAAAAAAAGAAATGAATAATTTGAAAAAAAGACTAAAAGTGAAGAGAGAAAAAAAGGAATCATGGGATGTGCAATACTTATTGGAGGTACATTAGTAGTCTGTGTCAACATTTGTCCACTCTTAATGATATGATGCAACTTACAATAATGAGTGTGTGAATGAGGACCTACAACTTGGACTTATTGAACACATTTTGGTCATGTTTCACATTTCTTTTTTATTTTACTTTTTGAGATAAGTAAAAAAAATTGTTCTAAATTTAAGAATAGAAAATAAGAAACATTCATATTTTACTAGAATGAGTTAGAATAAAGTTTTAAAAATCAGTTTAGACTTTAGATGGTGCTTTTATAGTAAGATCATCATACTTGTGTATGCCGAGTTCCCGACGGCCACGTTGGCCGTTGTCGACCACGTGAGAGATCTTCTTTGTGTGCACCGAGTATTCTATCCGTCCAAATTTTGATTACAATTTTATTCTCTCTCTTCTCGATAACTTTTGTTTATTTGTATTTTTTCATTGATTTTTGATAAGATAAAATATTCTTGTCACCTCTTGTTTTGTAAAACTTTTGATGTAGTTTTTTAATGTATAATTTTTATTTCCTATTGATCTATCAATTTGTAAATTAAATAATTTAAAAAATCTTGGAATTTTATTTCGTAATTCCCATTTTGATTACAAAATGAGGACGGGGGAGTATAAATTTTTGTGCTATTAAACAGTAGAATTGAAATTCAACTCTACATTTTTACATTTTGATGGTCATAATCCGGGGTACTTAATGGAATCGTAGGGTCAGTTTTGTTCACGGGTTGATGTCATTAGAATTAAATTGAGAGTTAAAACTCTATTGAATTGATTTAGATGAAATTGAATTCTCCCATTCAAATTTATTTTTGATACTATTAATTCTAAATCTACATATTTTTGTGTTATAAAACGTCAAAATTAAAATTACGTATTTTCTTCGATCCTAATTCGATGGTTTTAATTATATAGTACGACTTGGGTCGTCCTGTGGCCCAATTGCATAATTTCTAAGAGCGGATAAAAAATTAAAGTTGGACTAGTCTTTAGATCTGGCCCACCATACCATGGCCTTGTTTGGAAAACGGCTTTTCGGGTGGCTTTTGGCATGTTTGACTGACTTTAGCTTTTTTGACTGAGCGAACCGCCAAAACTGTTGTTTGGCTAATGGCTTTTTCACTTGGCATTTTGATCCGAAAAGCCAAAATCCGAAATGCTAGGGGAGTAACATTTGGACTTGGCTGTTAGGAAAATTAATTTTTTAAAAAATTATTTTTCTTGAAAGATATTTTATAGTATATGTAAAAACTAAAAATAAAAATAAAAGTTAAAGAATTAAATACTAAAAGAAATTAAATTTAAAAATTAAAAATTTCAAAAAAATGAAATGAGAAAATAAAAAGTAAAAATCATTAAAAAGTTGTATATTAATAAGTTCTTATGAATTAAATGAAAGTAAAATTTAATACTCCATATAGTAAAGATTTAAATTTTACATGTAAAAAAATGAAAATAAATATCTTGTGTGTAAAAAAAATTAAAAAAAATGAATATACATACATACATACATACATACATATATATATATATATATATATATATATATATATATATATATATATATATATAGGAAAAACTATTTTCAAACAGCTAATTTTACCAAACATTTTTAACAATCAGCCAATTCATCATGCCGGTCAAACCAGCTGAACTAAACAGCCATTCACAACAGCTGACACGAACTGCCAACAGCCAACAGCTGACAGCCAACATCCAAACAAGGCCCATGTGTTGTGCGGCATTTTCGGACATCCACCGGTTGCTAAAAGTGCGGACGATTCAACTCGAATATTGTTTTCGCAAATATTTATTTCAAACTAGTTAAATTTGTGATCAAATGATATCGTGTCATAAATTGATCAAAAGAATCAAACTTTGACACTCTTTTCGGTATATAAATTTTCACCCTACAATTTTATTTTTATTACAAATTTAGTGAAAGTCAAATCAAGAGAATTATTTTGGAACAAAATGAGAATATATGCTTACTCTGGCAACTTTGAAACTGAGAAAGATAAACCTACTACAATTTGATTGTCAGGTAGGAGGTTGTAGGGCCGTCCGTTATGAATGCTGGCCCCTCTTTCTATTGGTTATCACTCCCTTTGGACCCTACACTTGAACCCACTTTGATGCCGGCATTGGTACTTCAATGGGAAAGATGTCAAACTTGTTGATTCTAGCGTTGGATTCTGGCTTTGAAAGTGTGAGAGTTCTTTTATTTATAATAACTCCTTGTGCACAATAGACACAAGACGGTCTCTCCAGCTCTAAGGATTTACCCTCTTACAATCTTGCCTGGCTGGGGTGTGGGCATGCCCGAGGTGGACTCTCCATCTTTGAACACACTTTGATGTTAGGTGTTGTACTTTGTGATGGGTAGATTATTACTGTAATAAATAAGTATAATGTGATAGGTAAGATAAAAATTAGTAGGAGTAAAGTGGTTTTTTAATATAAAAGAGAAAGTGTTTGTGGGACGACAAGAAAAAAAGGAAAGGAGAAAGAATTTAAGGGGCAAAGGAAGTATTTTTTTAGGTTGCATTTCGTTTGCCTGATGTGTTGGGAATCCCTGTGATGGGTTCAATCCCACACCGGAAAAATCAAATAAAAAACACTATCATTTAAAATACACTATCATTTAAAAAAAGATGAAGCACTACACATTATTTTAAGTTTTTGGATAGAAAAAAATCTAGATTTTATATGGGTAAGTGGTCAAATCTCACCCAATACTTCACTCAATTCACACGACACACTGAAATTCTAACATGGTTTCATAACGAAGTTCGGTTTGAATTCGATTCATCCTAATATATTCATCGGGCTAGCTATGAAGGGATATTGACATGCTAGAGCTAGACTCACTCACTAATCTAAGTAGTAAGTCGACCAAATTAGTTACCACTTGGGGTGTTGGGAATTCATGTGGTGGATTCAATCCCACACTAGACAAATAAAAGCACTTTGCCTAGTTCACTTGGCCTACAGAAATTCCAATATGATCTAATCTGATAGCTTGTGTAATCTAATTTAGTCTTATATAATCTGATTTTAATAAAAATGTGCAATAAATTGAAAAACTAAATAGAATAGAACGGACCCTTATTTAGTTACACACATACTCTCTCAATCCATAATTTATTTTCCCACTTTTCTTATTTGTCTGTTCATAAATTATTTTCTTGTTTTTTTTTGTTGGAAAATATTTTTTTAAACCACATTAGTACCCTCACATTTACCCATTAATTACCATCCATACTTACACTTTATTTCACTTGTTGCAATTTTTTTTTGAATGCTATTGACTCTATTACAAGGTAGTATCTGTTCAAACTATTTTCAAGCTAATGACTAATGACGCACAAAGAGCCAATGCTGCTGCCTTCGCTGGGGCTCGAACCTGGGTGAACTTCCCCATGAATCCTGGGGAGTGGGCTTGCTACCACTCAAGCCAGGGGAGAAGTTCCACTTGTTGCAATTACTCAAGAACAAATATGAAAACTCAAAACTTTTTTTCTCTTAATTTGCTTATAAAGTCAAAACGGAAAAATTATTTTTGAAGGGAGGAGTATATATGCAACCAATGCAATCACGGACTTACTCAAAATTCACTTATCCCAACATCCCATTATAAAGAGGTTAACTAATTTAAAAAAATTCATTTAAAAAAATACAAATATTACACCAAATTTGAGAGAAGAAATAAAATATTTTTTTTAAAAAAAAAGGAGAAAAAATGGGAAGAGGTAAAAAAGTACCGGAGTAATTAACTCGTTTATACGGAGTAAAATAATAAGAGGAGCAGGGGTTACGTTTCTGATGATCAAGCAAAATCATTCTTTATATATCGTGAGCCAAGGAATACAAAAAAAAAAAAATAAAAGTGAGAAAAAAAAGAATTTGAATATATAAGAAATGGAAAATTCTTTATTGAGCTGTGAGTGGGGAGAAAATAATAATAAAACTAATGGATCTTCTTCTTCTTCTTCATGCTATCCTTCTGAGTATTACTATAGCTCATCTGCAGCTATTGCAGGTTTTCAATCATGGCTGCCGCCGCCGCCGCCGTTCGAAGAGGATGAAGACGAAGAGATGATGATGAGATCATGTGGTGGCGGAGGAGGTTCAAAAACCGCATCCAAAAGCCACAGCCAGGCGGAGAAACGCCGCAGAGACAGAATCAACGCTCAGCTCGCCACTCTCAGAAAACTCATCCCCATGTCTCATAAGGTATTCTCATCTACTTGTTTTTTACTCTCCAAAAAAATTCCAATAATTTCACTTGGCACACCGCACATAGATTAAGAAAAAAGTCAAAAAATGTAAAGATTTTACATTTTTGCCTCTTTGATGTGATAGAATAAAGTGAATAGTACGTGTAAAAACAAGAGTATAATGACACATATATTAAAAAAAGTTGTGAAATGAGAAACTTTTTTTGAACGACCTAAAGAGAAAACTAAGAGAGAAATTAATTGATGGAAAGAGTATTTTTATGAAATTTTAAAAAAAATTAAAAAATGTGACATTTCTTTGGGAGAGACTATCTAGAAAGAATTTTATGGAGTTTTGGGAACTAAACGTTTCCAAAATTATGGATTAACGCCTTAAAGTATGGCTTATAAACAGCTTACAATTCAAGTCAGATTATAAAGACACAGAAAATGTCATCAGCTGACTTATAATTAAAAACTGTTTATAAATAATATTAGCAAATTTCTAAACATAGAAAAACACATCCTCAATTTTTAATGAATTTCATCGAAAAAGTCAAACATACACAATTTGGCAGGCAACTGGTAAAAATTACACAAGGTACGTTTCATTTGGGGAGGAAATTATAGAAAAAATTAGTGCCAAAAAATTGGTTATTACTCCGTCTTAGAAATCATGAAATATTCCTTTTAACGCTCGAGGGCTAATAAGATTATTCAAATAACTCTTTTATTTGTAGTTTTGTGCACATATAAACGTCATTTTATCTGCCAAAAGAAGACTAGATTTGAATTTTGATACCCAAAGATTCAATGGGGGCAACCCTAGCACTTTCACAAAAGGGAATAGATACCCAAACAATGCATATACACCACCAATTAAGAGTGGAGATCGAAATGGATGTCCCAAACACAATAGTAAAGACTTAAATATATTTACTTTGTGTTCTCTTTGTCGCAATTAAATCGTAATTTTTATGTAGAAATATTATTATAATTGAACCCGATTTTATTAAAAATAATATAGAGTCTAATAGTCTAACCGAATAGTAAGCACATTTACAACCAGCTCATAAACTTAAAACCTACTCCGTAATTATATTGAATACAATTCATTTGATAATCGAGGTGAAATTTAAAAATTACATCAAAAGTTCTACGCACGAGAGACTGACTTTATTTAGCTTAGGTATTATCCCCAGGCAATTCTCAATAGGAGTAACTCAATTGTGTTTCCTTTCCTCCATAGCTTCTTAAAATTACTAGGATGCCTCCAGGTGTACCTTAGTTAGTCTTAGGAGATCATGTCAAGCCCAAGGTCTTAGGATTGTGTCTAGGTTGCGGCAGTGTAGGAGTCCTATATTTGGAAATAGCTCCTCGTGCGTAATGGGCACAGAGCGTCCTCTTTGAGAATCAAATTAAGATTATACTATGTTTTATTGTTAGAATATAAATAACTATTCCTGGGCCACAACCACAAGCTTGAGCTTTTGGTTGAATGAGTTCCTTGATATGGTATCGGAGCCTTGTTGACTAAGAGGTCACGGCTTCGAAACTCAGCGCCACCTAATTTAAAAAAATTAAAGTTTCACGTGCAAGGCTGAAAAAAGATTGCGCTTGCACGTGAGGGGGCGTGTTAGAATATAAATAACCATTTCTGGGCCACAACCACAAGCTTGAGCTTTTGGTTGAATGGTTCCTTGATATGGTATCGGAGCCTTGTTGACTAAGAGGTCATAGATTCGAAACTCAGCGCCACCTAATTTAAAAAAAATTAAAGTTTCACGTGCAAGGCTGAAAAAAGATTGCGCTTGCACATGAGGGGGCGTGTTAGAATATAAATAACTATTCTCGGGCCACAACTACAAGCTTGAGTTTTTGGTTGAATGAGTTCCTTAATATTTATCCTCCTCACTTTCCTGTCGGGTCGTGAGTGAAGGGGAACTCTGGGCATTCTACATTTTAAGATTAGAGAAAACTCTCTAGATAGGGGCAAAAAATATATGAATATACCAAAATAAGAGTCATAAGTCCTTTAAAACCAAAATAGTAGCCATAAGTCTTTAAAAACCAATTTTCACTTAAGATTAATTAAAAATATTTTAGTCTGGTGTTTACATAGTTATAAACTATATGTAGTAATTCACATTTATAAAAATCTTATTATCTGGGGCGGCAGTGCCCGTTTCTTAACATTGTGAAGTTAATTTTTTTTATTAAACTACTAGTTTATTTTAATAATAATAATAATAATAATAATTCATTTTATTTTTTTTAGTAATAAGGGGTTTTTTCAAAAAAAAAAAACGTTAGTATAGAAAAACTACCATGGAGTAATAAGTAAGATATATAGTTTTACCCAGTATTATTAACATCTTAAAATATTTGTTTTTCTACGTACTTCATGTAAAATAACCGAGTAATTTTTAAAAATGCGGCGTATTGAAATAAAAAATTAGGGAGTATGAATGTATGATTATTGTCAAGTGGGGGTGAGAAAATGGGATATGGCCGAAATAGTGCCAGAAAGACGTACGAAGAAATAATAATGTGGAGCACCAAATACACACCCACTCCCGTTTCAAGTCCAAATCGTTATACGACTACTTTTAATTATTGGCACACAATTTCAATGCTCCCTCCCTCTATAAGTAAATTTTAAAAAGATGAAATCGCTTATCCTGAACGTTCATCTCTCTTTGTTTTATTGGACCATGAGATGAAGTAAATTATGGAGATTCAACCGGCAACAAAGATTTGAATAATTGCTCATTGCACACAAAAAACTCCTAATTTTTTCGGAAGTTGCTTTCACAATGTCACTGGTGAAGTTCGATCTTTAATCTCTTATTCCAAATTTTATCTTTGAGATCAGTTGAATTACTCATGCGAGTTTTCAAAAAAAGAGATCAAATTGTTGTATTGAGAACCATGAAAAATTAAATAGAAAATTAAATTTAGGACAGATGAAGTACATCATTATTCATTATAAATGTTTAAATGTGTGGCCAATGTTTTTGGATTTTGACTCCAAAATGTCAAATTAAAAACTTTTATCTGGGAGGGTAAGAGTATCTGGATTAAGTTTTAATTCTTTTTCAAAATTGTTATATACACTTTTATTCCAATGTGTTTCTACATTTTGGCAGTTTATAATCAAAGTAGACAAAATGTAATTTGATTATCAATCAAATAAATACGGAGTATTATATTACTTACTAGCTAATTAACAAATCAAATGCAGGGTTGTAATTTTTAATATTACTTACAAGATACATCTAATTAAATTATTTATACTGATTTTTTTTTGTTTAAATTAGATATATACTAGTATGTAATGTAACTTTATTTTATATTGAGTAATTTACTTTAACATGACTAAAACACAATGACTTTCCCAATATAGGATCATATGTTTTTATTTCCAAATGTAGGACTTTAGGTCATTATGAATTAGTCATCATTTAAGTAAATGTCCATCATGGACATTATTCCTTCCACTAAGACATTAATAAGTCCTATTTAGAAAATAAAAAAGTTTAAATCCTAGATTAAGAAAATCATTATGTTTTAGTCCAATTTAGTGCAAATTTCACATTAATATTATTTTATGATCATGTGTGTGATATATGGGCATGCATGGGTTAATTACGTTGAAGATGGACAAGGCAGCTCTGTTATCCAGTGCAGTTGACCACGTCAAAGAACTCAAGATAAAAGTCGCGGAAACCCGCGAACTCCTCGCCGACATTCCGGCGGACACCGACGAGGTGGTGGTCGTACACGGCGGCGAACACCAACAAACGGGCTCATCACCACCACCAATCGCCGGGCCGAACGTCCTAAGAGCTTCGGTGTGTTGCGACGACCGGCCGGAGCTGTTCGCGGAGATAAACAGCGCGCTCAGGGAGCTCCGGCTGCAGACGGTGCACGCGGAAGTGTCGTGTTTGGGGGGCAGAGTTAAGGGCGTGTTTCTGCTGCTGTGTCCGGAGGGGGAAGAGGGGATTTGCGTGAACTCAGCCAAACAGTCCCTTAAGGTTGCCTTGTCCAAGGTTGTCATGCCTTGTTCTACCAACAGTTATCGCATCAAAAGCAAAAGGCAAAGATTTTTCTTGCCTCCTACTCATTATTATTATCACCAATGATATATATCCTCAAAACTCTTCATGTTAATCATAATTTAAATATAATATAAATAAATAAATTTAATAAAATTTTGAGATATCAAAACAATATTTAATTTTAAGATCAATCCAATTATATTAAATTTATATTATAATTCAATATATTTTTTCTCACAATTTTCAATCGAAGAGTGTCACTGTTTGACAAAAAAATTTAAAATAGGAAGAGTTTTCATGGAGGAAGAAAGTATGTCATTTTGGCTTGAAAATTTGTTTCATACGAGCTGGTATTTTCCTTTTTTTGTTACCACAAGAAAAAAAATCATGTACTCGGCCAAAATAAGCAAGATACGTGTAATTCTAATAAACAATTATGTGCAGGAACGGTAATGTTTGTGAGTAAGGTTGTGTTCCGTTCGTTTGATCTCATCTCATTTTTTGAATTTTTGATTTTTAAGGGAGAGATATTTTTGTGTTGACTTTCCAAAAATACTCTTGAAGTGATGGGTAAAAGTAAGATCTGATATGTAGATTATTTGTAAAAAAATATGATTTAATAAGTAGAGTATGAAAAAATAAGGGATAAAAAATACACACAATTAAGCATTCAATTTACATGCTTTTGTTCACTTTGATACATACACACCAAACGTGACTCTAGAAAAGGCTTAAAAGAAGAAAATTGAGAAGAGAGAGTGAAAAGAAGCAAAGGGTGAAAGCGATTTTGAACGGTTTGGAAATGGCTTATTATTATTGGGGGGTTGTTTGGTCTCAACCGTTTCTGGCATTCCTTAATAACGCGCCCCTCTTCCGTTGTGAAAAAAACCGTTACTTTGTTGGTGCGTCATAAGAGCGTTACCAATTCACGTTGCATTCATTTTTCATTAGTTGGAAGGTACATCTTTTTTTACTCTGTAGTGTACGGAGTATATTCCATATCATTTTGATTTAGACACTTTTATGTTTAATTTTTTAGTCGAATATTATCACTTTTTTACCATAAACATAATCTAAATAAATAAATGATGTTAAATTTTGATGTATCAAAATTATATTCTAAAAAGAACCTAATTACAATGAATTTCTATTATAACTGACTACATTTTTCTTAGAATTTGTGGTCGAAGAGTATTGCTTTGTAAAATAATTTCGAAGTACTCTAAAAAAACGTCTGCGTCCTGCATAAAGAAAGTCAAACGATCCAACTAACAAGTAGTAACAACCAAAAATAAATAAATAAAATGGTTTCCTCAAAAAGGAAAAAAAAAAGAAATTAAAATGCGAGCAGTTTACGGTTCATGCCAACTTCTTCTACCCCTTTTTTTCCTTTCGGTTACATTTCATGTCCGTACCTTCTGTACCCTCCAACGCCCATTATATATAACAATCATAATTGCAGCTTCTAAAATGAATTTAAAGCTTAAGAAAAGCTTTTTAATGGAGGATGGTGGTAGTGGAGGGAAAGGTAAGGTGGCAAAGGGTTCATGGAGTCCAGAAGAAGATGCCAAGCTCGTGAAGCTGGTCGAGCTTCACGGCCCGCGCAACTGGTCTCTGATCAGCACCGGCATTCCTTCCCGTTCGGGGAAGTCGTGCCGGCTGCGGTGGTGCAACCAGCTGAGTCCGGCAGTGCTCCGCCGCCCGTTCTCCCCGGAGGAGGACGCCGTCATCCTCCGGGAGCATTCCGTCCTCGGGAACAAGTGGGCCGCCATCTCCCGCCTCTTGCCCGGGAGGACGGACAACGCGGTCAAGAACCACTGGAACTCCTGTCTCCGGCGGAAGCGCGGCGGCGGAGAAGGCGGCGGCGCGGAGGCCAAGCGAGCTCGCGTGGACGTCTCGTCGCCGGAGGAGTCGTGTGCGTCGCGGGAGGAATCGGAGACGCAGACTTTGCTGCCGCTGTTCCCGCGGGGAGGGAAAATGGACGGTCAACACGCCGATGAAAAGTCAACGACGGAGGAGGAGCCGTTGGGTAGTGGTCCCGGCGAAATGGCGACGGCAGAGACGAGTTTTTACACGATCATGCAGCGGATGATCGCGCACGAGGTCCGTTGTTACGTTGACAAATTACGGGCTCGCGGTGGGCTTGGGCCTGGCTCTGAGCCCAATAATAAAAAATGACTGTTCACACTTAGTGGAGATAAGTAGTTAATCTAAATGGGTTCTTGAGAGTGGTGGCCTTTATTTGGTCCAAACCCACTCCCTTTTTTTGTATCAATTTTTGAAATCATTCGTTATTGGGCCTACACAAACTTTGCTAGCGTAATTAACATGTAGTGAATCGAATTTTGGTTAGCTCTCTTCACATTTAACACTCTTTGATCATGTTTTTTAATAGTCCACCATCTTGCTATATTAGTTCACTTTTGACTTTTGAAACTCTTCATCCAAGCACTTTGACTCATCAAATTCTTTCAAAGTGTAAGTCTAAATATAGTCATGTGTGATCTTGTTTAATTTATCTTAACATATAGGTTATTAATATATAATTTCTATAATTTTTTAATATACAAATTACAAGATAAAATAGATTAAAAAAGTGTATTGGATGATGTGTAAAAATGAAAGTGAACAAATACTTTGGAACGGAGGTAGTAGCACATAAATTGATTGAATTTAAACTTGTAGTCTTGTACAATAATATTTGTTCATTTTATTTAATTTTAATGTATAAAAAGTTTCATAAAATCTTTTCAAAAGAGAATTGGAACTAGTTAAAACAAGACATCAAGGGTATAATCTTGAGTTGATGCATCTCTACACGAATCTATATATTATTAAAGAATATCTGTCTGATGTCATCTTGGATGATGTAAACAACTTTATTTTTATAAAAGACATACACTTATCACATCATTATCTACAATCCTTTATAATTAAAATAAACATTATCCTTATTTATAAGAAATGTAATTTGTTCAATTGGCCAACAAATTAGCCAAATTGGCATAGCTGATGAAGTCTAGTGTACTACAAATGAATTACTCATATTTTTTTTTTGAAGATCTATTTTCCTGACAGAAAAATCTACTATGTTGTCCTTTAGATGAGGATTGAGTGGTTTCCCACGACCAATCCACCATTGTAAAGGTAGTGGAGAGCGACAAGGTGGGTTGTCTGCCAACACTTTGGTCAAATGTGAATGTGTGAAAAATATGAAAATTTGACCATTGATCTATTTTAGAATAGAGGAAGTGTGTGTTTGTGTGTGTGCGCGTGCAGGTGCGTGTGTGTCTCACCTGGGTAAAACTACTACTCACTCTGTCTCTAAATAAACTTCCTTTTTTTTGACTTTTTAAATATTTAAGGGAGAGATATTTTTTGTGTTGACTTTTCAAAAATATCCTTGATGTGATGTGTATAACTAAGATGTGATATGTAGATTATAAGTAAAAAGGTATGATGTGATAGGTAGAGTATGAAAAAGTGGAGGATAAAAGAGATTTTTAAGAAAAAAAGAGAAATTTATTTAGAGACAAAAAAAAAACAAAGGAAAAATTTATTTGGGAACGAAGGAGTACAAGGTAACTTATGGAAGGGACAAACTAAGCAATATGCTTTAGATGTCCCACGGAAACAAAATTTCGAAACAATCTTTTTAACAAAGAATGAGAGGAACCCAAAAACCTATTTTCATTGAATTCATATTAGGCGAAATTTAAAATGTAGTCCGTACGATGGGCTACATTTAGTTTCTGTTAATAATGTAATTCAAGTTTAATGATGTCATAAAATGTCTTGAATAAAATATACTTGGTCCGTCCCTAAGTGTTTGTCCACTTTTGACTTTTGGAACTGTTCATCTAAGCACTTTGACTTATCAAATTCTCTCAATTTGTAAGCCTAAAAATAGTCATTTGTGATCTTGTTTGATTCATCTTAACATATAAATTATTAATATATAATTTTTATATTTTTTTAAAATACAAATTACAAGATAAAATGAATTAAAGAAGTGCATTGGATGGTGTATAAAAATGAAAGTGGACAAACACTCAAGGACAGAGAGAGTGATATATGAACACTTAAAAACAAAGCTTGGTATGAATCTAATTTATTTTATTTGAGAAAGTGTTTTTTACTTTTTTTATTCTTCTTTTTTTTAATAAACATACACTCCCTCCGTACCTAAAAACACGGGAGTTATTGAACAAAACTAAAATTTAAAGGAGTGTATTTTTACCTTTGACCTTCCAAAAATATTCTCCAAACCCTTATGCAATTGAAAATGAAAGATACGTTGTGAATATTAATTTCATTAATTAAGAGAACAAAAAGTACACATTGAGCAAATTCGGTTGCAGGGGGTTTAAATTCATCCCCCATGCTGCAAGTTGTTCAATTACATACACAAATCTAATAATGGAGGGGAGTTTTTGTGCCAAATTCATTTTTGGTAAAATTTAAACTTCCCTCCAATTACAATTTCATATTCTTAATGAAATTCTATAAATAGAAACTAATTAGTGCATTGAAAACACATTTAAAGCACTTGCTTCCTGACCCTTCTCCTCACCATCTTCAACCTTTCTGTGTTTTCATTCTGTTTCTATATTGAACTTTGTTATTTGAAGCATACGCATATTGGAGGGTATTGGTGCTCAGAGGGAATTGAAGAGAATGAGGAATAACTCAAACGTAGATCAATATGTCTTAAGAATAGAAATCAAACCAATTCCAAATCAAACATAGTACCTGGTCGACGAAGAAAATCAGCAGCAGAAATAATACACCGGCAGCTGAGTACAACAACATTGAGGATATTTAAATCAGAAACTGTGAAAGTGGTTTAAAAAAATAGTATGGGAAGCACAATTTTCTGAATATTTAGTGAACAAACATGAACCTGCATACTGTACGTAGTTGAAGAGAAAGTAAGATAATGGGTTCTCCATGTGCAATGTTTAAAATAAGAAAATGTATGGAAACACACGTTATATTAAAAACATGTGAAAAAGACAACATGTAGAATGTTATAGACATTTATAAACATGAAGTAGAGAAGAAGTAAATTATTGAAACCAAGTATATATAGAACACGTTTTCAACATATGAGCAAAATCTTGATAGTAGGAACCCATCTGGAGAACATTGCATTATAAATAAATATGTAACACAAATGAGTAGGAAAGAAGAAACAATTAAAAAATAAATCTCCAGTGAGTCATTCAAGGCAAAAGAGTTATTAATTTATAATTCAACCCTAAAGATTCTTCTTTGTTTCTTCTATGCATTGGAACTTTAAGTTCACTACAAAAAAAATGCGGTTTTGGCACGATTTTTGGCACGGACGGTAGTTTTAATTTCCCGTGACAAAACGTTTAGGCATGGATAAAAAGTGCTGCCAAGATACGGCCCGGCCTGATGTTTTGCACTATGATGCTTCAGGTTTTATACTGGAAAAAAGTGCCTTTAGAACTAAATGGACAAAAACTTTACTGCACTGCAAAGTGACGAAACATCTGTGAAAAAAGGCTGCTTAAATTTTTCTTTTCATCATGTTTTCTTCGCCATTCATAAGAGTGAAGAGCAGGAGTGTAAAAGAAGTCTAAGAGTGACAACAAAACTAATTTTTCATTTTTTTTCCCCCACTTTATCAAAACTTGTTTTCATTTTTTATCCAAACCTTGGAACATCATTGATTTTCCACCGAGGAAAGCTACCTTATTTCTAGTAATTAAATCCAAGAAGACAAATTCTATCTATTGAGGACTTTTTAGCGAGTGTACATGTACACCCGGTTGTACGGTATCTTGCTTGGATATTTTTTTATACTTGATAGAATAGAGAAATTGATTAACTATATTTGTGTAAACATATAATGCAAAAACATGGATGGAGTTATTATTGTTTCACTAATGAAATATCTAATTTATTTTCATCCTTAAAGAAAGAATTTCGCATGCAAGGATTAAAAATTACTCTGTTATATAAAATAAAACAGTGAGTAGAAGAATATTGTTATAAAAGAAAAAGTGTGAAAAAAATGTTTAAAGCTGAACAATAAAGTGCAAAAAAAGAAAGAAAAAGAAGCAATGTATTAAAGCTCGTACGGGATCGGCGGGTCTGAAATCGCAACAAAAACTTCTTCCACTTACCGAAAAACACATGTTGATGCTTGCCCATAATCCAACATACAACACAGCATACAGTGTGCACTCTAGATGCCTACATATTCATAGAAGAAGGAGGAAAAAAAAACAAAGGGCCCATAGAATCACATACATACATACAGTGTAATTTTTAATAGTCATCATCTCAAAAACACATTTGCTTAGGCCATGAAGTTCTCAACCCGGCATATCATCTTCCTCTCCTCTCCACCAAATGCACTCCCTTTCATGACCTCCGACTGCACCTTGGATATGTCTCTACCTACCTATAATAAAGAACTCATCATATACATACATACATATATATATATATATATATATATATATATATATAAACATTTCAAAAATGCTTCTTTATAATCGGATAGAAGTTGCATAGTAATACACTACGAATCAAACAAATACTATTAACGCAGGCATTAAATCATCACAATGCATCAGTGTTCCAACCAACAGATATATGCTACACTTCTACATGACTAAATATGATTTCTTGTGGGTACTAATGAAATGCGTTGCAATTTTCATTCCCATATTCATGCTTTCTTTGTGTATTGCTAAGATCATGTAACTATCATGGATTTAATTATATGTTTCAGAACAGAATTTTCATTGTTGGTTTCTAGTTACTGCCATGCTTTTTCAATTAATGGCATGTCCTCAGACAACAACATTTCTAAATTCTAACCAAAAAAATTCAAACAAAACTTGTAGAAAAAAAAAACCTGCACATCTCCAACACTGAAACAGCTACACTCCTTAGATTCACACTGCCAACACCGGCGAAACTATGGCCTTCAGACAGTGCGTTTTGATAACACATTCCAACCGCCACATTTAAAACAAATTGCCTAGAAACTCANTCAGAAACTCAACCAAACCTGCACATCTCCAACACTGAAACAGCTACAAAGAAGAAATTGCAGGTGTGTGTGTGTGTGTGTGTGTGCAACTTGAAATGCAAGGAGAGGAGGGGATTACTTGTTACTGAATGGAGAAAACGTCAATTTGAGGATTTGCAAGAACCCAAACAAGCAGGTTAAAGCAAAATGCAGGCAGTACAAAATTGACAGGTTCTGGATTCCATCCAGGTCTTCCCGTGCTTCACTGAGCCTCTGGGTTGGATCCAAATGACCAAGGATACCAGAACCCAACGCAGCATCATTCACCTTCATCTTCTTCTTCGGAACCCCAGAAACAGAACCTGAAGCTGCTCTCTTCTTCCTAGATACAAAATCTTCAGCTGCACGCCTCGTCTTCTTTGAAAGATCAGAATCAGAGCCGCTAGAACATGCCTTTATATCTTCGGCGTCCTTAGGAGCAAATTCATAAAAGTTTGAATAATCTGATACAATCTTGGCTCTTCTCTTTACAAGTTTGGATATTTCTCTGTAAACTTCAATCATTTTCAATATCCCAATGAAAATCCCCAGGAAACATTGAAAGCACATCAGGAAGGAGATGGATGAGGACACCCTCCCACTCACTCTACGGTTCAATACTTTATCAAGAAAAGGCTCCATCATAGACAGGGAAGTCGCAGTTGTAAGCAACTGGCCCATAGTGTTTTGAAGTGAGTTGGAAATACCGTCTGACCTGTCAATCAGAGCTTCATGGTGGGATTTCAAACATTGTATTTTCTTCTCGTAGATTTTCAGAAGAAATTCGGAATCAGAGTCAGGGAGGGTGTCAGGAGTGTCAGGGGACCCAGGAGTCTCTACAAGAATGTTCAAAAATTGAATCTTTTAATGTATGTGAATCCTAAAAAGAAAGAATATAATGAGTAGATAGTCTAGATACGTACCAGAGCATATCTTTGTCACAATCTTTGGTGGGCTCTTCGCATCCTTATCCAATTCTTCTATCTCCGACTCAGTCCGCCGCTTAAGGGCTTCATCTCCCATCTGCTTAACCGGAGGATCCTCCGGGTCATCGTCGTCGTGGTCGATAAAAGGCTGCTTTTCCTCACCGGAACCCATGGCGGGCGAGAACGGCGAGAATGAAGAGGGTAATGCCGATTGCGAATGCCGAATAGATTCTTGCGAGGGTAACGCCGCCGAATTTATAGTCATACCCATTCAAGAAAGCTAACTGACTTAAATCTTTCGTCCGTGAGCGGCGCTTTTGGGCTAAAACATGTGGGCCTCTAATCATCAATGGAACATTGATGAAATTTTACCATAAATTAAAACATTGATGAAATTTTACCATTAATTAATGGAATGAGTTTTATTAGTTGGAACTATCGTGGGCTCGTCAAACTATTGTAAGGGATATCAAGCCATGTTTTATTTTTCTTATTGAAACCTTGTGTGATTTCAAGCGGATTGATGAAATAAAAATGATCTTGGATTATGATTATTATTTCTCTGTTGCTGCAAACGGTCATAGCAGAGGTTTAGCATTTCTTTGCAAATTTCCTATGCAAGTATCCTTATTGTCTACATCTCGTTTTCATATTGATGTTGTTACTGATCCCACCCTTGGCAGTTGGAGATTCACAGGTTTTTATGGCCATCCAGATCAAGCAAGAAGGAATATCACTAATATTTATCCCGTGCCTCGCAAGTATAAATTTGGAAAATAACTCAAATAATACATTCTTTAAATACGTAGTATTTTTTTATGTTCATAATTTTATATTTCCATAAAATTTATCTCGTGCCTCACAAGTGTAAATTTGGAAAATAACTCAACTAATACATTCTTTAAATCTTGGATTACCGTTTAAGTTTCAAAGAAAACAATTTCCAGTACCTTTGTGATTTGACATGACATTCAATAAGAGTCAAGGCCAAACATTATCATTTGTTGGATTATTCTTGACCAAATCGGTACTCACTTACGATCAACTTTATGTTGCAGCTTCACACGTGAAAAACTAAGAGAGGATTGAAATTATTAGTTTTAGATGACAACGGTAAGTCGGTAACCCTTGCAATTGTACCAAAAACGTGGTTTACCCTGAAGTTTTCCAAAAAAATAGGATTTAATTCATAGATTTGTACATTTTTTTCCATTTTTATATACATGAATTTTAGTTAGCATACTCTATTTATGTTGTATCTAACATTCTATATTATATTTATTTTTATTTTATAATTATTTATTTAAAACAAAAAATAAGCAGAGTTAAAAATAACATGCGTCCGATCCCATGCGTTGCACGGGTTAAATACTAGTTTCATAATATTACCATTTCATGTAATATAATTATAATTAAATAAATTAAAGCATCACTCTACTGCTCCCACAAGGAATAGAAGCGAGTCGCTTTAGTCTTTTCATGCGTTCGCCAGAATGCCTCTTTGGTTCAAAGGTATGTGAACATAGTGAAACCAAGCCGATACATACGATAGGCGAAGGATTTCATAGCGCCTGGGGAACGCAAGTTGAATCGAACTTCTCGAAGAGGGAGAGTAGATGTTATCGGTTACTATATATATTGATGGGACCAAATTATATCTACCATACTCAGCACCATTATTATATATATTTTGCTCAGTAAATTTCTCCACGATTACAACAAATAAACTTGGGATACTTTTTATAATTTTATAAGAACTGTGAAAATTAAGAGTTTTTGAAATCATATATATGCTATATTATGAAATATAATATTGTAAAAATAAGATTATAGTTATATATTTTTACTACTCATTTTTAGTGTATAATTTATATTTTCATAACATTTTTTTAGTGATATTGCATAATTATCTTACTTTTTTCAAAACATTGAAAGCTTTTCTAATTCATTATATTTTCAAAACCATTTTATAATTTTACAATGGAGAAATAAATGTTACTTCGAATTTGTAGTAAAAATTATATAGTATTTAACTAATACCATCTAATATTTACTGGTACATATGCTACATTATAACAATTTGTGAAATTTGCATTAAATAGGACTAAAACATAATGACTTTCCTAATGTAGGACTTAAACTTTTTTATTCCCTAAATAGGACTTAATAATGACCTTGTGGGAGGAATAATGTCCAGTCATGACGGACATTTACTTGAATAATGACTACTTGATAATGACCAAAAATCCTATATTGAGAAATAAAAACATATGGTCCTATATTGGGAAAGTCATTATGTTTTAGTCCTATTTAGGTAAATTACTCTAACAATTTTTAATATACATTGGATTGTTAACTAATTGTCATATTAGTAATTATGCATTATTTTTATGTGTCATTTTGTTTGTCACTAAATAAAATTCTCGCCGTGCATCGCACGGGTTAGAATCTAGTTCAAACTAAAGACGTCATATTTACTTCACGACAAATTCTTACATGCATCTAATGTTAATGGTGGAACTTTTTTACACTAAATAAATAATTTTAAATGTTAAAATAAGCACTTTTAAAATTAGAAAGAATGAGGAGCCAAAGCTTATTATTCAAGTGACAAGGTAACACAGCCAAACAACTACTCACGTGAAAAGAAAAAACAAACCAATAATTAATTCTACTACTCATTCACTATAACCCAACTAATAAAAATCCTTTATTTTCTAAAAGCACATATGTAACTTGAGCAAAGCAATCGACTTCTTAGAGAGTAAAGGAAAGAGGTTCGGTTTGGTCCCAAACGAGACGTGGCGCTGCGAGCGTGCTCCTGTAAGCAACCCAACGAGGATAGTGATATATGTTACTATATGGCGTTTTAATTTTTGTAACGGTGTCATCCTTCAAGTTGACCAGAAATAAGAGCAAAAACCAAGACACTAACAACTCATCTTTTCCGACGCTAAAGATCATGAAATCAAAATCCCCCAAGACCCCCCACATTCGAATCCCTTTTGGAATGGGGAGACTAATCACAGCCAATTGCACCCATTCCCAGTTTGCATGATCCTCCAAAACACATATGCCCAGTAGCCCCAATTTATGGTTTCGGCGGCAGAGGCAGAGATGGCCATCGTGAACAAACAAATACATGCCCATCCTACAAACACCGCGGCATTCGAATTCTGGATGTGGCAAAATGCCGAATGTTTCAGAATCCGTGTCAAATATGAGCACCGATTGTATGCAATAATGCCTTATGTCGTCCCTCTTAGCAGGAATCACCATCAAATACAAAACTTTGCCCACGGTGACCGGGTAATTAGTGAACGCGTACGACCTGCACAAAAAAGGGGCACATGCAATTTCCTCCTCATCGGCACGGGAAGCTGCTAGACTGTACACACGAAACCGAAACCCTCTCTTCTCATGGTGTGCACGTAGATAGTTGTATTCGTTCCTCGATTCATTAAAGAATATGCCGCTCACATAATGATTCAAACCCTTTTTCATGGGCGCTAGTTGTCGAGTGATGGGGTTGAAAACAATGTTGTGTTCATACTTGGGCGCGTAATAGCGACCGTTGTATGACACCAACGTGCGTCTCAGATGCTTAATGTGAAGTAGAGGGCCACAAGCACCGTATAGGCAAGGTATGCCACCGTCTAGTTGGAACCTTGACGACTCAAGAGAAATTTTTCTCAACTTTTTACCAAGTGAATCATAAACATAATAATTTCTTTTGTGAAGTGAACCATGTAGGGATAGATGGCATTGCAGCATAAGAACGGAGGGAGCCCTTTCGTTTTGCACCGCGATAAAATGATTGGATGAAGTCAAAGTGTTCCAATGCCTGCACGCTTTACGACATTGTAGAATCGCATCAGCGGGAAGCCTGCTCAAAATATCAATTAAGATCTCGTCTGGAAAATAGCCAAATCCTTTGTCTCCAAACCGGGAACGCAAGAGATGAAAAATCCATGCGATGCACTGGATCATCACCATCATATCAAGGAGCGAGGTGATTTTAATTTTGACCTATGCACAGAAAAAAAAACAATCAAACAAAACCCATAGTTGTTTGTACGTTATTTGATCATCGATAACATAAACATTCAAAAAAAACACATGATATATACGGTCATAATTTTGGAACGAGGGAGTACTATATTTGTTACAACAGCAATATGAATTAAAACATGACATGTTTTCTTATTGAAAAATTTATCTGAATCCAGAAAATTAATTTTAAAAAACCATGTATTTAATTAAAATAATGTCAAACAAAATTTAATCATATTCATAAATACTAAAGAACAAGAATCCGTAATAAGAAATTAAAAGGCTTCGTATGATTGGATCGGAAATTCATATAGAAGAAGTTTGAAGAACCTTGAATAAAAAACCTAAATAAAAAGAAAAAACAATCTAAAGAATCTCACCCCTATGGACGAATCGTCGATGAAATCTAAAAATGAAAAAAAAAAAAAAGAAATCAGAACCTGTATAATCGGAGATGCGAGATTGGGGGAAAGGGGATCTCCATTCCACTCTGTACGTATTAGGGATAACTAGACCCTACTCGTGCGATGCACGGTATGAATATTACACTAATAAATAATTTAAAAATATAATAAACACAATATTAGTAATTTAAAAATGCCTCTACTCCATTTAACACAAAGTTGCTATCAATTTAAATAACAATGTGTGTAATATTTTTCATCGAACAATAGTGTCTTATAAAAATAATTCTAAAAAATTTTACACACAAAATAACTCCAGGCACTCTTACTTAAAAACTAACTGAAGAGGTATTGCATTGAATACTTCGAAGAACATTTTCTAGGGTAATACCTAGCTAACAATTACACGATTCCAAAAATTAGACATAAAATATATAACGATTCCTTACACCTCTATCAAGTAGCTTGGCATCATCATGGAATATGAAGATAGCTGTGTCTTTGGAGTTTAGAATTTACATCATTTGCTTCCCAATGCTAATTTGAGTTGACTCCTTAGTAGCATTCTTAGTTCATATCATTTTTTTCTACTTTATTCGGATGATGAAAAGAATTCCACATATTTTATGAAAATGGAAATAAATAATTAAATAATAATGAAATTCATAATTTCATAAATAAAACAATTTTAAAATGGGCATAATACCCTTGATTTGTTTGATATGCTTGAAGACGTCCATCGTCAAAGCTCGCAACCCAAGCAATAACGTCTTCAATTCTGATTAAACATATCATGTAATAACATATAAAGTGCTTCTAAGTAGACTCTAATCTCTCTTATAACTAAACCAACATTTTATCTAGTTGCTCACCAAATATCCTAAACTCAAAAAACGAATAACAAATGCTAAAACTAACATTCAAAATGAACAACTAAAAGCACCTCAAAACTCAAAAGGACATACTTCCATTGAAAAGTATCTACCATGGTCGGGGGTTAAACAATGAGAATGACACCACTCTCCCGATCACATTCCCGAATCCCAATCTGAGCATTTGATGAACATCAAACAATTTATCCTTCCTTCGATACAATCACAAACATGGAAGTCATCTTTAAAAACAGTGCCGCCCAATCATTTAAGATGGCCCTGTGCAACTTAATACTCCTTCCGTCCCATAAAACATTTCTCCTTTCTTTTTTCATCCGTCCCACAAAACACTTCTCATTTCTATTAAAAAGTCACTTTTACCCTTTACTTTTTCATACCTTACCTATCACATCATACTTTTAACTAATAATTTATCCATCAAATCATACTTTTACCCATCACATCAAAGGACATTTTTGGAATTCAATACCAAATTACACTACCCTTAAATCACTCCTAAAAAGTAAAAGTCTCATGTTTCACGGGACGGAGAGAGTAAATCAAGGCTCTAGTATATTAAAAAAAGAGTGGTTGAAGGTCATAAAACAATCATTTAGATTTTTATTTGAAAAAGAACGGAGTACATATTACAACACTTTTCTTACACTTCAAATTATACAAACTACTTAAAAAGATTTTTATGAAGGGCTCCTTTTTGAGATTCTATTACGTTTTGCATACCCAAATTCATATTTTCTTATTTTAGAAGGCATATTAGAATTAAATTTAGGAAGAAACGAGTAATTCCTAATCTTGACATCTTTGATGAATGATGAGCTATAGCGTTCAACCACTTTCCTAATTCTAAAAAAAAATCCATGAAAGGTAGAATTGAACAATTGGTCTTGCAAAATTAAAGAAGAAATACAAATTTATAATATTCAAGAAACAATTAAACAAAAAAAATGATTCATTTAAGATTTTAATATGCAAAATAAATTATAAATTTCTAACACTAAAATAATTTTCAAACAAATCTAAATCACATATATTAAGACATGCGTGCAAAAAAATACCAACAAAATTGAGATCACCATTTCCGATTGAAAGGATGAAAGAAATACACGGTCTATTTGAAAAAAAAAAACCTGAAACATAAAAATTAAGAACTCACCAAAAAAAGAAGAAATTGAGGAGTTAATTGGCAAAGGAAGACCGCCTATTTACCGTATTAAAGGAGGGAGACTCTCAGCTTGAAGTCTAAGAGTGTTCACGAGTAGGGTCTAGTAATAGACAGAGTATTAGGTAATAAAGGTAATGAGCTCGTAACTTATAATCATAATTGGGCTAGAGGTATAAAAAATATGGGCCTATATATTTTTGAGGCCCTATTCCATTGCAGCTACTGAACCTGCTAATGGGCGGGCCTGCTTAAAAACTTGACATAACAATATGTAACCCAAACATCTTATTACAATGTGTCTCTCACAAAATATCAGATTAACATAGACAATGTGAACATGGTATTAAAGGAAATAATCTCACATCCCGTGCTAATTGAAACTTGCAGAATAGGAGTCTTTTCCCAACCTAATCTTCACCCGTACAACCGTTTAGTTAGAGTAACAGGCTGCATCACTTTATTTTCAAGCTCCCGAGTTAAAGCATTTACAATGACTCCAAAATTTGCACTGCCCAAATTCTTGATACATCAACATTCTACTAACTTTTCGACATTCTCCAAAATCTTGCAATGATATTGTCTTTCTTTTACAATATTTATCATTTTTAATTCAAAATTTATATAAATTTAATACAAAATTACAAATATTTATTTATTAATAAAAATAGATAAATAAAATAAAAGTAATAGATTCAAAGTTAACCATAATAAAAAAATTAAAAAAGGGTTTAAATTAAAAAAAATGAAATTGAAAAAAAATGGAGGAAGAAGAAGGCAAATTGCGGCGAGGGAAGAAGAAAACGAATGGGGGAAGAAGAAGAAGGAAAAAGGGATCTAATCCAGTGCGGCTTAAGAGGTGCAGCGGTGCTCCTTTTCGTAAATTAATACTGGTATACGATTCTGTGTTAAATTGCCACAAATTCGATTTTGGAATGCAATGTAATTCTAAACAAATAAAATTGGAAAACTTATTCAAATAAAATACCAAAGTTTTGATTGAGTAAGAGAGTGATGCACCACCAAAACGCCTTCCAATTAAACACATCACTAAGAATAAACAAATAAAAAAATCCTGTGATTAAACAGACAAATAGAACAGAGGTTTCAATTCTTTGATTACCATTTAGTCTTCTTATTTGTTAGGCATTACCAGTTTGATAATTTCACAATGAAATTGAAAGAAGAAATGAAGGAAACGCACATATGGGTAAAAAAAATTCAAAATTGCATTTAAATCAGGTGGAGAACAATTCGAGTTTGAAATTTTTGGTTCAGATCAGAATCCTATTTGAATTGCACTTAAATGCCATTTTTTTGTTTAATGGAGAGATTAACAATATATAAATTTTGGAAGGCTTGTTTGATTTTTGAACATACCTGAAAATGGAGTTGATATTAGATAGTGAAAGCACTATTGAGGATGGAGGGATCACTTTCGATGCACGATGGAAGATAGAGAGTGAAGACTGGAAAGAGGCGTGGTTGATGCCCTAGGTCTGTTCTTGTACATGTCAATTTCGAAGAAGGGGAGAGAAGATAATTTGCCGAAATAAGGTGGTTGTGTTGGAAATTTTAAAGTAAATTAGACATTTTTGGACATAAATTCAGTTGGGTCTATAAAATTATTTTCCAAAATAATTATGTACGATTAATCTCGTAAGTAAGACAAACGTCTTGATATATGACACGTCATAAACGGTGTTCGGGTGAATGAGAAATTAATTCTCAAAGTTGAATGCTAAGGTAGAGTAAATGCATTTGTCCCACACCGATTTCTAAACCTTTCGTATTCTCATATTTAACCTATCACATCATATCTTTTTACTAATAATCTATCCATCAAATCATACTTTTACCCATCACATCAAAGGACATTTTTGGGAATTCAATACCAAAATACACTCTTTTAAATCCCTCCTAAAAAGCAAATGTCTCATGTTACACGGGACGGAGGGAGTATAATGCAAATTTTGCCTTTACCCCACCTTAATATGGTTCTCTTCCCTTTTATTGATTTCCAAAAATATCATCTTTCTTTTCTATGATTAATTTAAAAAATGTACTCCCTCCGTTTTTTAAAACACTTCCTCTTTCATTTTTTTACTTCCAACAAAACACTTCTACTTTATATTAAAAAACCGGATTATGCTATGTGTACCCCAAGTTTTGTACCCCAATTTGTACCCCGCAGTTTTGCACCAACACTTTGTGTTGGTGTAAAACTAATTTTCGTTAAATGCACCAACATTTGTGTCCGTGTGAATTTTTATTAACGCACCAACACTTGTGTCGGTGTAAACCATCGAAATGTTTGTGCAAACCTGTGGTGTACAAATGGGGTATATTTTTTGGTGTAAGTGTAGCATGGTCCTAAAAAACCACTTTTACCCTTACTTTTTCATACCTTACCTATCACATCATACTTTATTTCTAATAATTTATTCATCACATCTTACTTTTACCTATCACATCAAGGGCAAAATTGGAAGTCAACTACAATTTTATATTTCCTTATTTTTACACAAAGTCAAAATAGGAACACTTTTTCCAAACGGGGGGAGTACATATTAGTGATCATATATTTATTCTCCTTTGCATTAATTTAATAAATTGGATTACCAACCCTATAATAAGAATATGATTCTTCTATCCCGCATTAATTTTAATTAGCAAAATAAATATTACTACTTCTGTCTCTGAATATTTGTCCAGTTTTGACTTTTTTCGGTCAACTATTTTCAACCTTTGACCTATAATTAAATAAAATATACATTGTATTCTTATTAAATAAAATAATATTTCGAAAATATTTGATATAATAAATCTAATAAAACTCTTTTTGTATCAATATCTAATATCATTTTTATTTAATTTGAGATAAATGAAAATAACATTTTTAATTTTCATCCACCCCAAAAGGGCCTCATAAACTTACTCCGGAACTACTTCTACTTCTATTAGGAGTATTATTCAAAAACCTGTTGTTACTAGGATTAGGGTTAATTAGGACGTACACCTTAGGCAATTACTTAAACCAAAGATTGAAAAGTTACAACTCCGATATGATCTGTGTGTGTTGGAGCTAGCCTTCGATCAGTTCACTTTCTTCTTGGCCGTGATGGTGATCCAGTGGGTTGTTTCACAGCTTTTGTGTTTCGGTCCAAGTCGAAACAGAGGATTCGGTTTGTTCCCAGATGACATCTTAGTTGACATTCTGAGCAGGCTTCCCGCCGACGCCGTTCTCCGGTGCCGCAGAGTGTGCCGGCACTGGAGGACTCTGACTTCATCGGCTGATTTTGTCGCGCTGCAAAACCAAAGAGCTCCCTCCGTTCTTCTCGTGCAGGGCCGCCGACTCGGTTTGCTCGCCAAAACAGATTATTTTGTCTACGACGCACTCGCCAAAGAGTTGAGGAAGATTCCTTTCAAGTCTAGGCTCGGCTTTGAGGGCCGTGGCAAAACAATGGAAAACGAAACCATCTCCTTACGCGGTGCTTGTGGTCCCTTACTTCACCTTAAGGTTTCAGCATACTACCACTGGACGAGGGGGATCCACAACTTTGCTTTCAACCTCATTACCAGACAACTAGGAGCTTTAAAAACGAGGAAAAGCGATTTCGTGTGCGGCTTATTCTTTAATGAGGCGAGAAACGAATACAATTATCTTAGCTTTCGCTTTCTTGGTGATAAGTCGGGTCGGTTTTACGTCTACAGTTTAGATTCCCGCACCGACGTGGAAATCGCATGCAGCCCTTTCTTGTTTGGGAGATGCTCAAACCAAAGCCCAGTCGTCGCGGACCGGGCCGTGTTTCTTATGGTGGAACGCACTGAGCGGGACGTTAACCGCTGCATGCACGCGATACTCGTGTTCGAGATGGATTCTGGAAAGTTCTACAACATGCCTCACCCGCAATTCGAATGCCCCGGTACGGGTCTTCATCATTTTAGCCCGTACTCGTATTTGTTTGTTCATGATGGCCATTTGTGTCTCGGCCGTAGTGACATTGAACTGGGGCTACTCTACACATGGACTTTGGTGGATTACGCAAACTGGTCGTGGGCCCCTCTGGGTCCTACGATTGCTCTCCTCATCCCGAAAGGCCCTACGGGTGGGGCCCGTTTCACGATCCTTACCGTGCGAAAGGATGAGTTGTTAGTATATTGGGATCCATCTCTGTTTCTCGTCAACGTGAAGGGCGAGAGTGTTGAAGAAATCAAATTGCCGTATAAATGGTTGCCTTCCAGTCTTTCTTTGGTTGCGTACCGGAGCACGCTCGCAGCTCCACGTCTAGTTTGGGACGAAGGAAGGTCTCCTCTCTTCAGTCTCTAATAAGTGTGGCAAAAACTCATGCCCTCATACTTTTTAATTACTCTATATGCACCAAATTCTGAAAAAAAATTATTATAGTGAATTATATACAATGAGTAGCTAGTATATTAATATTTTTTTCATATAAGCATTAGTTTTGTTTTGTTGTGATATACTATCTCCGTCCCACTCTTTTTGTCCAGTTTTGATTTGTGGAACTGTTCATCTAAGCACTTTGACTCATCAAATTCTCTCAATATGTAAGTCTAAAAATAGTCATGTGTGATCTTGTTTGATTTGTCTTAACATATAGATTATTAATATATAATTTTTATAATTTTTTAATATACAAATTACAAGATAATATGGATTAAAGAAGTGCATTGGATGGTGTGCAAAAATGAAAGTGGACAAAAAGAGTGGGACGGAGGAAGTAAGCTTTAAAATATACTCCCTCCGTCCCTGAATACCTTTCTCCTTTCTTTTTTCATCCGTCCCAAAAAACACTTCTTATTTCTATTAAAAAGTCACTTTTACCCCTTACTTTTTCATACCCTACCTATCACATCATACCTTTTTACTAATAATCTACCCATCAAATTCTACTTTTACCTATCACATCAAAAGATATTTTTGGAAATTCAATACCAAAATACACTCACTTAAATCTCTTCAAAATCAAAACATCTCGTGTTTAAAGGGACAGAGGGAGTATAATGAAGTTTATATATGTGGTGCAAGGGAGGACATATGAGACATCTATGGAAGTATTTTTTCTGCAGTAACATAAGTTTCTTGGTTGTTTGGTTGGATGAATTAGGGATA